ACAGAAATAAAAAATTATATATATTACCCTCACTCTGATATTAACTAAACACTGAAAGCATAAAAAAAATTTTAGGACATATTTAACGTGGGTGAGAGCTGCTTGCAGTCCACCCTCACTTTTTGACGGCGCGACCAACTGCCAACCTAGCATTTTATACGCAAGATCTATGGAGTCTAGGCAATAACGTTTCTCGATAATTCTAGGGTTCTGAGGCCTCTTTGCCGTCGGCATTACATCGATGACTTATATGTTTTGGCTTGCGGTGCATTAAACCAAGAGTTCTCCATGATAATCGTCATCTCGCCTTCATTTTTTTTGCTCCTTTCCACTTTCATTCGATATACTCACACTGTCATCTTTTTATAGAAAAAAGAAATTTATTTTACGATCAATATCGTCTATTGATCCATAAATGATAGTTAAATTTAAGGCCACTTTTATTTATTTTTTTTCATCATCTAGGTTAAATAATATATAAATTAATAAAGTTATTATGTCATTGACAGTATGTGAGACGAATTCTCACGGGCATTGGAAAACTGTCTTGAACTTTCTCCTTTAGAATGGGCTATTGATCAATATAATTACAATAATTGATGTTTGTATAAATAATTCCAATGATTAGACTTGAGTTATTGTGATGCAGAAGTTTTAATATGAATTGAAAACTCGTTTTAATCATTTCTTTAACCAAGAAATAAATAAACAATCAAGAAAAATGTTATAAATTGTTTCACGACATAAAAAAAACTAATTAATTATAATCATAGTCATTATCAATTATTTTTTATTAAATTATACTCTTGTTACAACTGTAGCTGTTTAACTAATAACATAATTATTTTTTTTTGTTCTCATAAATCTTTTTTATGAAAAAAAATTTTTTTTAATTTAACTGTAAGCTTATACGAGGTATTTCACGTTAACTTAATTACCGAAAAAAACTGTCCGTTACTAACCAGAGTTGTTAGCAATAAAGATAATTACAATTTAATCTGACCAAAGCAGAAAGCGCGAAGTTAGTACAAAGAAGAGCAAAGAAATAAATATGTTATGGGATGTATGAATTACACATATGCGCAGATTTTTTTATCTGTCTGACTGCAATAGGGTTGTCGGATCTCACGGCTTTCCAACGCAATCCCGTTGGATGACAAGGCTCTCGTTGGAGTATAGTGGGAGTTGGAGGACAGGTGCTGTTGACGCCTTTGATCTTTCCTACATTACAGGAGTATTTTAGACGAAAAAGGGAATTATTGAAATGTACTGACTTTGTTCTCCTCTGGTGTAGAAATTTGCTATTTCTCTTTTCTCTCAATTAATTGATTTAGTAAATCCTTTTTGTAATGGAATTGTTTTCCTTTTGTTTAAATTAAGCACCACCACCGTTAATATCCCACGATATGGAGGAGTGATGAGGCAAAAGAGAAGATGTCACCCGTGAATTCCCAATGGTCGAGAAAGCTGTTGACGACAAATCGAGGGTTAAAATGCTATCGGTAAATAGACCTCATAGTCAGGGCGATGTCTATCGTGTGGCTCGTCCGACGGGGATTAGAACCCCAATTTAGCTCTTTATTTCCTCTTTTCTTTTTTCGTTGTCTGTTGTACCAATATATATATATATATATATATGTACCTAAACGCCAGCTTTATACAGATGCATACGATTTTAATAAAAGCATCGTATAAATAAATGGGTACATCAAACGTTACAAGTTATGGGTTAAAACTGTTTAAGAATATTGTAATATTAAGTGGGTAGCTTATTAAAAGAAACTGTTTCATTATTTAAATGTATTTTTTTAACAGTTCAATTCATTTAAAAACCCTCTTGTTCAACGTAACAAGAGCATTTATTTTAATGCTACTTTATATTTATAGAATCAATATTAATTAATTAAATAATTAATAATTTTATGATAGTTTTAGAAAAATAGGATTTTTTTTTATTATCAATCTAATTATTGGGTTTTGAAATACTCTAAAATGAAATTTAAATATAAATGTAAAAAAAATTGGAAGAAATTAAAGTTACAGCTTAATACGTTACTGCGTGGGATAGCACGAGATTTGAAGGGAATTCCAAGTATGTAACATTTATTTTAGGTATGTACGTATTTCTAGTGAACAGTAGAAGGCGTGAGAGAAACTGAGAATTGATAATTAGATTGTAACTAGCGTATTCTTGGTATCGTCGAATATATAATTATCGTTTTGGAGTCTATACTAGAGAGTGGAAAGAGCAGAAGCAAAACACAGCAAAATTTTCAAAGTTCCCAGTGAACTGTGGGCCCTCCCGCCGAGTTTTGGGCTGAGTTCTACATTGCGAGAAGCAAAGTATCGGAGAAGAGGATACCTACGTGTAGGCAGACTGGCGCGGGCGCCCAACTAAAGTAAAGGGTTCGCCGAAAAAACGAGCGAGACTGAATGTGAAAGAGAGATCGAGATAAACAGTTGGTCCCAGAGTACATTTCGTGTTTTCTGGCAGCTTCTAAACCCGTAGATCACGATAATTGTGAGAACAATGCCGCGAGGAAATTTCACGCTACGCGTCCGGGTCATCCTGACGAAATTCCGTACCAGAAGCTGGATAGTTTATAAACTCAACCCACGTTTAATTCACTCATGGAAGTTAAATATCTATTATTACCTTTGTAAAACAATCATATCTATTACTTACATTTATATATAAATCTATGACATAGACATGAAGGACATAATGACCAAGATGTTAATCAATTTCTAGTTCTTTCGTGACCACAAGCGTAACGAGCAGATAAGTATTCGTCCGTGACTAACATCAGCAAATTATTAGAACTATATTTTTCTATATTTTTTTCGACGGTTTTTTCAAATTCTTTGAAGGCAAACTAAGATGCCTAAGGACAATGTCGTCGAGGTCGTGGGAAAAACGCATCTCAGACAAACGGGAAATCGAAACTTTTATACACTTGCTGCTAATATACCAAACTCAAAAGTACTTATTCGTACTAAAACCCTAAAACTCTGTGCTCGAGACAAAAATGTATCATTACAGGGCATAAAAGTAACCATCACCCATGAAAGCCACTTGCTCCAAAAGCACTTCTCAAGTATATCCTTTGGTTTTTTTCTCATGCACCCACAACCCATAAAACCAAATTCCCATCGACTTTTTGTCCTTCAGTGATAATTACTTTCACTTAGTAAATCATCCAATTATCAAGAATTTCACAAATAACTGTTTTTTTTATTAATGATTATTGGTAAAAAAAAAAAACAATTATAATTGAAACATTAAGGTAAATACTTGCTAAATACATCAATAAAACAAACATTATTTATTTAAAATTTAAAATATAAACATGATAGCATATTCTTTTAATTACTAGTCTTTAACAACTTCAAACTCTAGAGAGTTAACTTTAAAAAATAAATTAATGGCATACACTTAGGATCATTAATTTATTGATGTTAAATATAATTTTTTTATGGTTACTTTTTATAATACAGATAGTTTATTTGCATCATTATGATAATTATCTGTAATTGAACTGTCAGTTAGAAATATGAAACAACTTAGAAAACTAAGTAACAATAAAATAACATAGCGCTCCAACATTTTTTTATTAAGTTTCAGAAAAGTTTTTTTTTAAATATTGTTCATGAAGTGTTTGAATACATTATAGATGGATAATATTTTGTGACACGCAAGTTGTTCAATTTAATATGCATATTATAGCTTTTACATCTGACCTTTTGAAAGGTAATGATTTAATCAACTTGGAATAAATAAACTATTGTATTGATAATTTTGTTAACTTCATTTGTTTTATTTCTAATATGTTTAACTTAGATTAAGTAATAATTTTTTTTATGATAAATGATGGAATTTTATATCATAAAAAATAGTATCAAAATAAGATTTATAAGATATTATTTATTACGAGACTATGAGATCTATCATTTTTCTCATCTCAATTTCCATCTACTGATTTACAATTTCCAACCTACCAAAATATAGATAGCCCCTCAAAAACTCAATAAATCATATCACGTCGATATTAAATTCTATTTATAACATTACCATTCTAAAATAAACTCCTAAAAACGATTTATTTTTCTTATGACTACGTGATTGCAGTTTTACAAAAATGATACTTTGAAACATGCATTATTACATAAATACATACATAATATCAATTATGAAAAATAATTTTCACATCTATGAACACAGGAATGCCTTTTTTGAAAATGATACAGGCAAACGATAACCACCATCTGCCATTTGAATCACTAACTTGATTAGCTAGCGCATATGAAATGGTGATTTGGGGTGAGTTGGCGCTTGGGATGGCTAGCACTACATTAATGCGATTTGGATACGTACAGAATCCTGTGGGATACTTCTGTAGCTTGAATACTATCTTTTCTGTCTAGAGATACGATAAATGACGTTATACATATGTAAATATTGTGACTGAGCGTAACAAATCGTAAGCTATGGTTGTGTGGTGCTCTATTATCCCTCCAAGAAACTTGTGAGCTTTCATTTGAACAAATTGTATGGGAGGAAATGATCATAGATAATCATATACATATAACAGTACAGTTATAAACATCAATAATGTATGCATACTTATGGTGGTAAAAATAATAGGCAAGCGTTATAGCTTACGCAAAGTAGCAATTGGTATCTTGGATTAGACGTGGCAGGATGATCTGGTTAACAGGATCAGAACTCGTGCGAACCGAGGGTTCTGATTATTGGAAAGAACATTTTCATCTGATCCTTTGGGATTCGGGGACTCAAAGGAAGTGTGCTAAAATTACTAAGTACATATTTCAGTTCTTGATTATTCTTTATTCGCATCAAAAGTTCTGTTTTTGTATTTATTTAATGGATTTTTAAAAAAAGTACTAAATAAGTTAAAGAAAATCAATACGAATGAATTAGCTTAAAATTGTAATGAATTATTTTATTATAACTTATTAAATCTATTTATTTACTTCTTTCAATAAAAATCACTCCAGCCTTGTCTTTTAAAAAAAAATAAAAAATACTTTATAATTAAAAAGTTATATTTATCTTACCAAGGTCTTTGTAAAAAAAGCAGCTACATTTAGAGTCAACCCATTTTGCTGGTATTTAAATCGTGATACTACAGGAATAGAAGAATTACAAAGCTAGTATTAGAATGAATGTGCTCTTGCTTTGAAACTAAGCCAAGTGTGTTAAGATGCTACCTGTACTTTACTGTCCAGTTAATGATTTGCAAACATCGCCCGTCGGCATGCTTTACGCTTTAGTCGTTACTAAAGATGAGTTTTAAGTAAAGAAACTATTTTCAACAAGTTTTGAAGAAATTTAAATGAGATAGTTTGACTACGTATTTATATTATATAATAAGAAAATAAACTTCGAGTAACAAGCAATAAATATTCCATGCTACTCAGGCAATAAATTCAATTACTCTACTATTTTTTATGTACTTCCATTTATCTCGTATATACAGTAATACAATCGGTATTATTATCCAACTTTCTCATTCTACTTAATTTCCATCCTAATTTATCAAATTTAACATCAAAAGGCAGTGGATCTGTATATCGATTTTGCCCTTCATTTGGACCAATAATTAAAATAACATTTCCTTGATAAATTTTCAAATAATTTTCAAATGCTTGTCCGTTATTGAAATAACAAAATAAAATTGCATAATTTGTTGGAATGTTGACTGATGGATTTTTTCTATCACAAAATATTATTTTGCTTAGAAAACAAGGCGGTGAATATTTACTGCTCCACCAGCATTGGTCGGCTTCAACTCCAATCACATCACAATCTTCAAGAATGAAATTTTTACATGTTATTTATCACTATCAAGTTTTTATTATAATCATTTGTTGCTCCATTTCATATCGTTTGCATGAAAATGTTACTCACTCAAGTATTGCTGAATAATCCATTCTAAAAGTCCAGTTCCACAACCGATACTCATAATTCCATGCAAATTGTAATCAATGATAATTTCTTTTATCCAATTCAGATCATTAAAGGTCGGCCAAACCCATAGTAATCTCTGTGCTTTGTAACATTCAACGCTTTCACTTAATGCAATTATTTCTTTAAATTTTCCTTCACTATGAAGCCGAGTTACTTCATTTTCGAACTCATTTTCTAACATAATTCTCTTTCAAATCAATGTACAAGTTCAAAGTAGTTTTAAGAATAGACTGAGCTCAAAACTACACCAATGACCATTAATATACATGTTCCTTACAGCCGTGACGTCTGTCTTGCCAACTTAGAACTATAATCATGTCGAGTATTTATAGTTAAACATGATTGATTGATCAGCTATGTACCGTGAAAACTAACGTTTTATTTTTAATGATAATTGTACATCTTCAATCAGTCAACTGGTTATGAGTATATTGAATTATAAGTTTCCAAAAAAATATTAATTTCAATAATTAAGTATATAATTATAAAAATATATCATAAGTCACTTTAAGAGGTAAAATGGCTCGTTTTTAAGCGTTTTCTATATTTTAATATCTTGTAAGGCAAAATGGATATCATCCATGGAAACATTAAGGAATATTCTCTGTAGAATATCATTCCGTGGATCATCAACGAGAATGAATCTATGGGTGCAGAGGCGATTACAAATATCTAATGCTTGAGTTGCATTTGGTACAAATACACCTGAAAAAAATGAAAAAACAATTAATAGAATATTGCTTAATGAACTTTTTGAGTTCCTTCAAATAAAGATAAAATTCAGAAAAAAACCTTCAAAAGAACAAAGAGCCTCTATTTGCTTGTAGACATTTTTAAAAATAGTTTCTTCAACTCCTGTTCGTTTAATTTCTGCACACACTGCCTGTAGGAAGACTTTTTCCATTTCTGAACAACATTTAATGGCACGAACTTTGACACTCGCAATCATCTCCGTTAGAGCTTCATTAACATGTTGTATAGTAACTATTTTTGATTCATATAATTCAGCAATTTCTGTAGCTCGACGACATATATCTAGTGCTCTTCGTGCATCACCTGACACAGCAGCTACTTTTCTTGCAACTAGCTGAACAGCTTCACTTTTAAAAGCATTAGATTCGTTAAGTCGCGCAATAACTATCTCATTCAATTGTTTATAATTATATGGTTGAAAAGTTAACCGCGTTAATCCTAGACGTGACGTTACACGACTCATCAACACTCTTTCAGGTAGATCCATGGTATTAGCAATTGTTATAACTACTAATTGAGCTGCTGGTTGTGATGGCCAGTTGAGAAGATTATACACCACGTCTTGGCGTTTATTACACAGTACATCAAGTTCGTCGATAAGTAGTAGTGTCATGGATTTCTTAGCCTGTTTATTTGTAAATCTTTTATCAAGAATCTTAAGAGCTGCTTCCCACGTCGTAGATTGGCCCGTCATTTGCTTAAGAATCTGAACATATGATTGCCGTGGTTCTGACATTTTCATTCCATTTATTTCGTAAAAATCAAAATCCGGTAAAGAGCCATTTGAATTTAATTTTTTCAAGCAACGAATCACTTCGTTCACCGTTGCTGTCTTCCCAGTACCAGGAACACCACTTATATACATGCAACCGCTGCTATGGTCAGCTATTTTCTTCTCTAAGAACATGAAAATGTCATTAAACTCTGTTTCTCTGCATGGTAGTGACTGGGGAACTGCGCTGACATGTAATTGGGCTCTTGCTTCTTCCAAAATTGTTTTTGGCTTTGCTACGTTTGTAGTTCTTCTTTTTATTGATGGAGTAAGTGCCTTAAGTTTGATTAAAGAAGTTGCAGTCTTGGAAGCTACTGATTTACGTTTTGGAGTTGATGGCTCTTCATTAAATAATTTTTGTGTTGATTTTGGAGACGATAAATTGCATCTTCGAGATCTCAGCCGTGTTAAAGGTGTTTCTGGATTATCAGCTATTTTTTTACGGGTTACAGGTGTTTGTGGATCGACTTCAATTGCATTTTTCTTAGTAGGAGTTCGCATTGTTTTTTTCGTAACGGCTCCAGATCTTTTGCTGATTTTAAGATCAGGATTATTGTCAATGTCAGAGATGTCGCTATCATCAGATTCATTTGACTCTTGCTGAGTTTCAACATTTTCATCTTCAGTAATCTTGAGAGATTGTTGCAATTTTTCTGCAGTTAATGTATTTATTTCTTCACTATGTGTGGACAAAACAGTACCGGATGGAGAAGATGATTGACAAGAAATATATTTAAAATTGCTATTCTCGGTTGAACGTCGAAGTAAAAATTTTAAATTATCACAATTTTTGTTGTTTACATTATTATCACTAAATTCACTATGTAACTTTCTTTCTTTTGAAGGACTTTTTTTGATATCAGACAATTTTTTTAAAATAACTTTACTAGGAGTAAAAATTTCATCATCATCACTGATGTCTGCTGCCCGAGTTTGTCGTTTTCGATGCATGTTTCAGTCCAATTTTTCAAATAGGTTATTTATAGATTTTTTTATTATTTTGGGCGTTTTGTCACCTTTACTCAACATATAAACCACTGCAGATCCTATTAAAAGAAATAGTTTAATAAAAACAATATTTTTTCATGTATATTTTATAAATCATTTTGAATTTACTTACCGACTTTTATTTCAGGAGAACAAATTGTTTCCGAATCAGTACTTTCTGAACTACAACTTTTACTTCTTGATCGTTTTTTCAATTGTTTTCGAGATATTGTTGGACTTTCTTCATCAGATGAAGATGAAACATTCAATTCTTTTTCTAAATCTAATTTTCGATATTTATTAACAACTGTTTTATGTTTACTTTCTACTTGTTGAGGACTTATCTTCTCATTATAGCTTTTAGACCTCTTCGTAGTAGTAACAGACATTATTTGGTCATTATTACTAATAGTGAGTTACAAATGGAACTCAATAAATTTTTAAATTAATAAATAATGAAATGATTGTATAGTTAATAAAAGATAACCTTTGTATTTTCACTACTACTAACTTTTTCGCGGGAATAAAACAATGAGTATCAACAGGATGTTTTGTCATTGGTTTATTAACATAGAACAGAAGCTGTCTAATAAAATCAATCTTGCATGTAGGTGGCATGATTGAATTAATTAAAAAATCCGGGAAATTCAAAAAAGAAAAAAAAAAATTCTTAAATATTTTTTTGACATGTTTATAATTAATCAATGAGCATTGGAATATCATTTGTTCATTTGACAATTTACAAATTTTATTTATTATCGCACGAAAATTTATTAAATTTATTGTTAGTAAAAACGATTTCTTTTTCACAACAACTCTTGCCTCTCGGTAATGTAGAAAAAGTGTATAGACGAGAGCATATAGCAGTCTCTCTTCTCTGGCATAGAGAGTTATTATAACCTCAAACTTCATATACAAACGCTGAGAGAACAATCTTAGTATGATCGGATGTTTTTGTGCTTGAATAATTTTGATTTTGGATTTATTACTATTAAAAAAGATCACTTTTCATAATAATTAATATTATAAATTGTTTGTGGGCTGAAAGTATTCTTAATCATGGAAACGTTATTGGAACAACAACGTCGATATCATGAGGAGAGAGAACGTTTGATGGACGCTATGGTGAAGGAATCAATTCATAAAAAACCAGGACACCGAGAAACAATTAATTCAGAGCATCGACTAAAAATGTTACTTGATCAATTTATGGATTGTACTTATCAATTGCAAGAACTATATGAAGATAAGGATGGTCAAAGAAAAGAAGAGGTTTGTATCATGCTTATAGTTTAAAGGCATCACATAGATTAGAATTCTTTTAATTTTTATCAATGTCTTATTCTATATTTTATTCATTTTAGGTTCAAGCTCTTTCTGGACCAAATGAATTTTCTGAATTTTATTCACGATTGAAAGCCATAAAGGAATTTTATCGACGACATCCCAATGAAATAAGCGTTCCTATGTCAGTAGAGTTTGAAGAATTAGCTAAAATGCGAGAAAATCCTACTGAAGAATTAGCAAACTTGGTAGAATTTACTGATGAAGAAGGATACGGAAAATACCTTGATCTTCATGAATGTTTCGAAAAATATGTCAATCTTAAAGGTGTAGAAAAAATAGATTACATAAGTTATTTATCAACTTTTGATCACTTATTTGATATTCCTAGAGAACGAAAAAATGCCGAATATCGTCGTTATCTAGAAGCACTGATCACTTATTTAACAGATTATATATTGAGAATCAAGCCACTTCATAACATAAATAATGATTTAGAAGAAGCACAAAAAGATTTCGAAATTCAATGGGAAAATAGTACATTCCCTGGATGGCCAAAAGAAACAGGAAGTGCTTTGACTAACGTAGGAGCACATCTTGAACTATCAGCATTTTCATCATGGGAAGAATTAGCATCACTTGGATTAGATCGATTGAAATCAGCTTTAATGGCCTTAGGTTTAAAGTGTGGTGGAACTCTCGAAGAGAGAGCTCAAAGATTATTCAGTACCAAAGGAGAAACATCTTTAGATCCCAGTTTATTAGCAAAAAATAAAAAAAAGACAGGAAAAGGAAAAGATTTAGAAAAACAAAAAGACATAGCTCGATTAGAAGCTCAAGTGTATAAGCTTGCTGAATTGGTTTCTACTCAACGAGTAGCTACTAAAGAAAATGTTCAGAGAAAACAGGCAAGAACTGAAGGAGAACGTGGAGATTCTGATGCTGAAGCAAGTGTAAGTGAATCTGAAGAAGAAGACGATAATGAAGTACCATACAATCCCAAGAATTTACCTCTCGGTTGGGATGGAAAACCAATTCCTTATTGGTTGTATAAATTACATGGACTCAACATCAGTTACAATTGTGAAATTTGTGGTAATTTTACCTATAAGGGACCGAAAGCCTTTCAACGACACTTTGCAGAATGGAGACATGCTCATGGAATGCGATGTCTTGGAATTCCTAATACAGCACATTTTGCAAATGTTACACAAATTGAAGATGCTTTAGCTCTCTGGGAGAAACTCAAAGCCCAAAAGCAAGCTGAAAGGTGGCAACCTGAGCAAGAAGAAGAATTTGAAGATTCTCTAGGGAATGTGGTAAATCGTAAGACATATGAAGATCTCAAACGTCAAGGACTTTTATAAAAAAACAACAATGATTAATGAAATTTTACCCGATAGAATTTTACATAATTAATGATATTTAACTTTTTGATTATTATTGTGTAATGAAAATATTGATTTGTCAAGATGTATTGAAAATTGTAAGATGAGAGAAGAGTTATTTATATCACAGTAAATAAATTTTATATTTATCTTGTAATAAATGATACATCAATCTGCGCATTTTTATGTCTTATTTTATTTTTTTTAAACAAAAAATAGCTTTTGACAATTAGAAGTAACAGTCAGTATTTATATATGTATATTTCATCTTCTATTCTTATTAAATACTAACAATAATAAAGCGCTCAATTTTTTACTGCGACATATTTAAAATAATAATAATAATTGTCTATCATCTATTGATTTATTTCTATATTACTATTCTTAACGTGTAATAAATTTGAAATGTTTTACAGAAATTCAGTCAGCCCTTTTTACACAGGAGGTAGATATTGATTATTTTGTGGGGGTAAATTACTTTGTTGGCAATTGCAAGGTTGATTTTGTCCATAATAATAAGGTTGTATTGGCTGTTGTGTTTGTTGTGTAGGTGTGTAAGATTGTTCTCGAATTTTAGGTGGATTGTTCATCGTGAATTCAACCCAAGCAACATCAATGAGAGCAAATGTGGCTACTTGGTTTGTTGGTAGACATCCGGTATCTTGATTATAAACACCGATGAGCTCATATACACCATCACCTCGGTCACAAGCCAATGGGCCACCTAAATCTACCTGACACATGTTGTTTCTTTGTTGTGAAGCCTTGGTGCAAACTAAGGATTCATCAACTTGTAATGGGGTTTCAGCATTAAGTAATCGCTCTTGACATTCTCCTTTATCCAAAATATCAATATCAATTGAGTGCATTATCGCACCAGCTAAATGAGCTGTAAGATAAATTATTCATTATTTTTTATAGTTTATTGACAAATTGAATTTATTTGATGAATTAATCATTCATTACTCACATTGCAAAATATGTTTTCCCCATCCAGTAGAGATGCATCGACTTCCCGGAAGAACTGGCTGAGTATCATGTCTTAAACAAATTGTTCCAACGTGTTGATCAAAGTGTACTGCATGTTCCAAGAAAAGAATTGCAAGGTCGTATGCTTGACTGCCTGGTAAATAGCCGGGGTGTTGGACGATTTGAGAAACTTGGACAATTTCAAATGGCAGTGGTTCTTCATGTTTCAATTCATATCCTAATTTCCATTCTCCTGCTTTGATAGACACGTCTTGAGCTTGATATCTGTCAATAAATATATTATTAATTATTACATAATTTTTTTTCGAAAGATTTGCATATTAAATTAATATTTTTCAATTTCACTATGAATATTTGATTAACATAATTAATTAGCAAAGTTGATATTAAAAAAAAATTAAAAACTAGTTCGATAATATTATGCAATATTTAAATAGTAATGTTTGATTAATATCTTCGTCGATCATTTGATTTATTTGTATGATCTTACGACTTGGAAAGTATTGAATTGACAACACACTCACCCATCAACACAACGAGCAGCAGTAAGGACAACATTTGGAGCGACAATTGCACCAGAACAGAGAAGTTTTTTTTCTTGATTCGAAAGGATCATTGCCTCCCAAGGAATTTCACCAAAGGCAACCTCAACATCATTCAAACCACTTGGTCGTTGAACCTTAAGTATACGAGGATATTAATTATTAACTTATCAATAATAGTATTCATTAATTTATTATTTATTTGTGCAGACAGTTAGAAAAGAATTTCAAGGTGAAAGAAACATTTTTATTCAAGATAAATTTTGGAACATAGAGTATTTTAAAGAAAGATTTCAGCCAGAATATATTATAAAAATAGTATATTTGATTTTATTATTCTCTCACAAATATAAAAGGTTACAAAAATATGGCAGTGATTATAGATATAATTAAAAACTCTCAAGAATAATAGAGTAGTATATAGAGAGTGAAAAATAAAAAAGAAATCGTTGATAATAGGTGCATTTTAAGAGCAAAGACCACTTACTGAATTCTTAACGCCACATTGACTTCCTGGAGCTCGAGAGGGAATTGCAATAGGGTTTGCATTAGTTGGAGATTGATCAAAATTGTTGACGGGTGGTCGAGGGCGAACAGGAGTCTTAGGTGTATTAGGGAAATATTGGTACTGATTATCACTGGGAGCTGGAGATTTATTTATTGGGATTGATGGTGCAAAAGTGGTGGTTGGACGAATTGGACTTGCAGTTGAGTATTGATAACCGCCGTTATAAACTCCAGTGGTTGGACGGACTGGACTTGCAGTTGAGTATTGATAGCCTCCATTGTAAACTGTGCCAGTTGGTTGGAAGGTTGCTGCAGTGGAGTATTGGTTATAATTTTGGGTAGGGCCAACTGTGATTTGGGTTGGATAGTTTGGTCGTTGAGGAGCTTTTGTTGGGTATCTTCCACCTTTAGTTGGAGTATTGGTGGCGGGTTTTTTTGTTGGACGAGTCTTCTGGATATTGAGGTAGGTTGGGAATCCTTGTTCATCGAATCCACCAGAGTAATTTGCTGGCAAGTTGCCTGTTGGCCAGGGATCAACGTAGTTAGGATCACGACAGCATTTTCCGACTATTCCAGTGTCTGGATTTTTGCAATCCTGAAATAATTTGTTGTATAAGAAAATTTTGTATTAAATTATGAAAAAAATCTAAACTCATTTTGTTGGTACTTACAGTCATTGGAACACGTCGAAGAAGTTGTTCTTCAGTGAGAGTAATTGGCGTTTCACTGATAACTCCATCCATTCCACAGAATTGTTCTTCAACGCAAAGTAAAGCAGCAGCACAACCAAGTTGAACATGGGTTGGAATAGGTCCTGATGGTTGAGGAATGATTTCAGGATCGGGTAGTTTGGGAGGTAAAATTGGAGGAGGAAGAGTAGTAGTAGTAGTAGTTGCTACAACGTTAACTACGCTACTGTCACTTGGAATCTGTGTTGATGGTGGAAGGTATCCATTGATATTTTCAACACGAACAGGTTTTTGACCAGTACTCAAATCTTTTTGATTGTCGTTATTATTATTATTATTTCCGAAAAGACCACCAGAAGTTCCTCGGTTGAAAGAAGTAATAATTTGTGAATTTCCTTGATAGTCTTGAGAGTTAGAGAAGGAAGTAAATTGACGGTCAACATTGCTTGCGGATCCTTGATCAACATTGGAACGAGCACTCAATGTGCAACATACTTCACGATCGATATCACACTGTTGGTCCTAAAAAGTGCCAATTATTAAATTGAGATATTTTCAGTAAATTAAGCGATAAAGGTGAAAAATAGATGTATTATCAGACATGAATAAATGACAAGTAAAGTTATAATCACATAAAGCAGATGTTACCAATTTCGTTTTTGTATCAAAGAGAAATTGATCGAAATGACATGAATCGATTCAGTGAAAATTTGGGCACAAGTGTAATTTAATTCAACTGGTTGTGAAACTCAAAGGAATAAAGTCCGTTGTGGATATAAGTACTTGGGCTGCACCTGCATACAGCTTATAAGATGGGGATACAATTAACAGCAATTTTTCTGTATTGGTAAATAATAGCTACTTTCCAAGCTAAATAAAAGTTATAATTTTGTTGAAAAAAAATTCATAAGTCCACGTGAAAAACCCAAATGACCTTGTATTACGTTTCAAAGTAAATATTAAGATAATCGTTTGTAATATATGTAATGGTGTTAATAAAATTGTCGTAAAATCCTGTTTCCTTTAACATGAATGACATTTATGAGAATAATATAAAATGGCTCGTACTTTGCATAATGACTTTCATGCATAATCATCAATCCGAAAAAATGAATTATTCTTATGATGATTGGATACCTATTACATTATTACATTTTTAGTACAAGTTAATAGTAAATAAATAAATCGGATATTGGGTAAAATTTCAAAGTTCAAGGCAATGGAGATCGAATGTCATTTTTTCCAGTAGTAATTTACCGAAAAATACTGCGTAATTTTATCTACTTATTCATTATTGCGCGGGTGTTTTTTTTATATCAGAACCAATATTAAAAGTCGAGGGGATTCCATGACATAACATCACTTTCGCCGATCTATCACACTTCGCATAAATGAACAAGGAATAATCAACAGACCTATCCAACCTCGTGTTGCCTTTGCTTAACTATTCCTACACATTCGTCAAACTTCCTTGTCTGACTAAATAAATAATCTTACAAATTAAATATTAATTTAATCATTCAATGATTTATTAGCTTGAATCAATATAAACATGGGAATTTTTAATTAAGTATTCTTTGTATTTAATGCTTTTCATCGATAATCTTATTAATTAATTAGTTAAATAATTAATAAAACAGATGATAATCAGTATTCATAATTTAATATTTTATACTGCAAACAGAAATATGAAAATTGAAATTCTTTCTACGTGCAATTCATTATAATAAAATGAATTTTGTAACTTCTAGACTTTTTTGCATAGTAAATTGAATAATTTTTTCACGTGACAAATAAATAATATTTTTAATGAAAATTAATTTTTTCAAATAAAAAATATTTTCAAGTTTCTATTGGATTAAATGCTATGACAAGTCTTGTCATCAATTACATAAAGAATGTTACTATATTAAGAATGACGAATTCTCTCCTTTCTTTTTTATTAGACATCTTCAATGGTCGATCTCTACTATTCATTACGACTTTATTATCCATCTTATTTTAAATACAATCATAAGCACTGATTATACGTTCATGTATGCAAATAAATTGAAGGAAGTCTCTCAATGCGTAATCGATAAATATTTAATTGATATTATTGATGAGTTGACGACTTGTCGGAGTTTTTGGGCTCTCAAGTTACTTTCCAAATTAGGAAATACTGACCTCTGATTAATATGCCTACAATTACGTATATAGACAAAAAAGAAATCGTTATGTGCCTTCGAAAACAATTTAATAATTTTTGAATAACATCATAAAAGAGATTTTCAAGTTTAACATGCGTGTAAGGAAAGAATTTTTAAGTCTCACTTTTCATATTGAATTCATTATTTAAATTATTTTCATTTCACTTTTATATTGCTTTTATATTACTCTTATAAAAGAAAAAATTCATTTTCGATTAAGTATTATGTTTAATAAACATTTCAAATATATTTATCATTTATTTAAAAATATTTCTGATTTCTTAACAGCTAATTTTTTCATCAAATTATTCACACCATTGAGGTATTCCAAGGTTTGGAGTCTATTTTTAAAATAATATTTGTCATAATCAATCCGGATGAGCTCAAATATCTTTTATTTTAAAAATTATTGCAATACTACTTTTTATATTTGAGTTATTAATAATCTACAAAAGCAATTATAATGAAATAAAAATAATTTATTTATTGAGCTCGGTGATAAACTCATTTGACTATAAAAATAAAGAAATATTTGTCGTATCTAAGATTAATTTATTTGATAGAACCTGAGAGGAAAATGTGAGTATAAAGCATTTATCAATAACTAATACTACTTTAGGTAAAGTTGAATGGTATTCGATATCTTGGATGTAATCGTTTGAAAGGTGGGAAATCTCGGCAGATATTTTAAATTCAAAAAGCTGGGCATAAAACTTAATATGACACAGTGAAATTTCTGAACATTAATGTGTGAAAGTAAATGGCCACCCTCGTTACGCCAAGACCAACGGTTGTGTAACTTATTGGATGAGATATAAAATGATGATCTAATGGTTGATTTGTATAGCTTTGGGACCCGGATGAGAAACCGTAGTCATTAAGAAAAAAAAATTACTTCGATAAATTATCTATGAATTATCGTGTCAAGATGTGAGGTATACTCTTGACATTGAAATGAAGGATTATTAACGTGAAATTCGTAGCCTCCGTGTTGATCTATGAATTCAAGTTTCTTTCAACTAATTTATTACCTCCGAAAATAATTATGCATCCGCATGATTGTTTACGAAACCGAATAATCATGCTTACGTAACTATTAATAAGATCCAACTATCATCATGATTTCCTAAATATTCTATTAGAAATTCAAATAATATTTTTTTTTTCCTCAATAAAAACAAAAATAATTTTTAATTAAAAAATAAGACTTACGTCTGAACGGATTTGCGAAAGCCCCTTAACACTGTTGCTTACATATCCGTTGATACACAAGTGACTGGCAACACAAATTTTTCCCTGACCACTGCAACTGACTGTGAATCCACTTCCAACATGCTGCTGACTGGCTGATTGGTCCAAAAAGGCATTCGTCGACTGTGGTCGATTCGATCCCTACGGTAAATAAATAATAAGTGATTTCATCAATGAAGTAATCAACTATTTAATTAATCAATTCATTTTCTTACTTGTGAAATGTGGGTGGTGTATGATGTAGGTGTTCTAGTTGATGATGCACCAGCGTTAGCAGAGCTGAATGAAGTTGAACTGGCACCAAGAGATTGAGTATTCAAGAATGGATTGCCAGAGGCTTGAGCTGATCCAGCATTATAAGTTCCTTGAGATGATCCAGATTGTTGGAAACTTCCTTGGGAAGTGATAACATTGGATCCAGCAAGGAAAGGATTTTTAGAAGCATAAGCAGCACCACCTTTCAATTCAATAGATGCATCAGCAGATTGTTTATGTCCTGGATGTCCTTCGAATGGACCATGTTCTGCCATCCACCAATACTCATCTCCAGATCCAGAAGCATTGACTCTATTGTCACCAGTATATCCTATTTGTTCGTTGACGTTATTTCCAGCATATCCGGTTTGAACATTGGCATTATTTCCAGCATATGCATTAGCTGATGCAGCTGCAGAGCCAGAGGCATAACTGTTGCTCTGGCTATAATCTCCATTGCCTGAGCTATGAGCGAAAGATTTTGATACTGCAAACGATTGTCCTGTCTTTAAGAAATCATTCTCCGAGATCTTGGAATAAGGACTTGCATTACCGCAAGCCAAGACTGCCGTAAAAAGCAAGATTATTTTTCCGTTCATTTTAGCCACCTTTAACAAAATAAACAATCACATGGTTAGAGGATGGAAATATTAAAAAATTTATTGTCAAAAAATGAGAATTTAAAAAAAAAATTAATTATGTGATAACTGCGAATTAATTGAATGAATAATGATTAGATACAACATCGAGCCGCGTAATTCTTGAGTGATTTAATGATACTGCTAGTCACAAACTGGTCTCTAACCGCATGAGCGCTGGAGGCACCTTCAACTTGAACGTGACGATAATAACACTCAAAGAGAATGCAACAACAAGGTAGACAATTGAATTATAGGTATCCCACATTGTTATCACGATTTTTAATCACATTTTTTTTTGTAATTTGTGCTGCACAAATATCAGTTGTCACTAGAATGATTGTTCACAATGTTGCACCTTAGATGAAAATGATTGAAAATTTTTTTCAAGTCCAAAAACTGGGACTTTGTTTACTCACCTGATACGTGTTTTCCAATGGGATTACACGTATGTAACTTTTAAAGAAAGTTGTGTGACTGACGCCGCCTCCACATCTTGGCTTCTCTTATACCATCCTCAGCGTGATGCGTATCCCCCACTTTTAGAGTCTCGCATTCCTCCTGTCCTTCGATATCCTATCCCGATTCGTTTGCTGACCGGTCTATCTGCCCGTAACCCATCCATAGTTGCTGAAATTTCTTTCACTATCTCTTTCAAACCATTCTCTTATCTTTTTTTCATTTTCGAGGACTGGAAAGAGCTGGAATATGTTGATACTTTTTATCATAGTATTTCCAAACCTTGAGTAAATCATGTTTCGTTTCAATTCAAATCTAATTATCATCTCATTTTATTATGAGCTTTTTGAAATCACTAAGTGCTCATACCTTGACTTAAAATAGCTGTTGATCTTGATTTTATCAAAGTGAACAAAAAAAAGTCTTCATGTAACGGAAATTGTACTTCCTCTTGAATCGTACCTTGATTTAAGTAGTTTTTTCTTTAAATGATCCTCAGATCATCATATAATTGGAGTATTGTTTTGGTAGAAAATTATATTTTTTTTATCATTTTTTTATTTAAATGATGATATTATTCAATTAGAAAGTTTTATTTATGAAACTTTTTTTTTATAATAGAAGATTTAATAGTTATACATAAATATTGTAATTCATGCTAGTTGCACTTAGAAAAAGTTTCAGTTATAAAATTTGATAAATAATACATAAATTGTTAGAAATGATAATCTATGTTTCATTTAAATACAAGAAAAAATTAATTGAAATAACAATTTTATCAAATGACATCCATTTATTTTATTTATGATCATTTTATTCATCAGGAATTATGTCGACAAATATTTACCAAGAATTAGCATTGGGAAATAAAATGAAAATTAGATTGTTAAGACAAAAAACATAAAATTAACTAGACATAGCAATAGTGGGCCAAAGTTATATTTAGTACTAATGATCTAATCAGGTGATATTTCAGCCAAAAATGTCTTCGGGTTTCAGCAAATCATGGGTTTTTTCGCTGAGTATCAAGCAACCTCATCCGGAACTCCATCAAGGGATTAGCAAACGTCCAGCGCAAAACAATGATGCAGTGTTCGCGTACCGATGAATCCTCTCGCCAAATGTATAATGTTATGTACCGCATTTAAAGGAGTCAAGGACAAACATAAGACATGACAGCAAAATTCCGCCTGTACTCCGGTCCAGGGCCATTCGATTCGAGACAATAGGTATGTAGACTGAAAGTACATATGTATACATCCTATAAATACAATCTGACACGACACTTTTTTTTTATTTTTCATTTTCCATTCTCGCCTTTTTTAATTCCACATTATACAAGTATTGGTATTGACATGCGATGAGAATATTAAGTAGGCTCTTATAGACGTTGCGTGAGTTCACTAATGCAGATCGGGTGCATAAAGAATCTCCTTTAGATCTCCATAGATGTAACAATTAGATCTATGACGCAAGGTAGTAACAGTGTCTCCCACACTTTCTTAAATCCAAATGAAATCCTTTTGTTGTTTTGCGAGTGGAATTCGAGTGGGTCGAAGCCTTGATGTACCCACGTACCTTCTGGTTTACCAATATGATTCATAATCAATGACGTAGTACAATGTCATCGGGATGACATGCCAGGATTTTTGTAGTCCTATATCTTGACTCTATTGAAATCATAGCAATTCTATTATGATGATGTTGATGATGGTAATGTTGTGATTGGTGATGGTAGTCATCAGGATGACTTGTTTAATTACTATTTCAATGATAAATGTTGACAATTGTAAGGAATGGAATCAATTCAATTATTGCCTCTATATCCTTATGGTGTCCTCAAAATACCTAACATGTTCAATTAATTGATTTATTAACATTTGTTCTTTGATCAAATAATTCAACTTCAGTATGACAAAAAATTCTATTTGTAGATTTGCAAGCTGGATTGGAGAAAAAATAAGTGCACCGCACCCAAATTCAGACAGATCGTTTGCGATCGCACTTTCTCCATGAATTCCAAACTCTTCTGTGTTGTCATATTGTATCTACACGTGCATAAAATACAGGCTGCACACAAATACCCTCACCTTTTACTCCCCAGAAGTAATTTTCGAATATTTTTATTCCAATATTACGTCTTGGATCCTGATATAAGAAGAGGAGTTGTTTATTTCATTCAGCGTGTGATCAACAGGGCATCATTTTTAAACACCTAAATGAGTTAATTTTATTCATGTCAATCGGATACATGATGAGATTCTACAGCTTTTCGACACGATCTACATCATCAAGCTGATGATGAAACAACATGAATTGATCTGAAATAATTCCTTGAAAAATCTTCCACCATTCGATCTTGATTTTAGGTGCTACTTCATCTTCTTTTGATGATGAAGCTACATATTTTCATCAAAACTTTACCTTTCACTGACATCACTAGCCTTGACGCAATAATGCTAATGTTGCACTGACTTTTAATTTATTTGGTATGAATCAAAAATACGGTTTATATTTTGAATAATTTACTATGAAACCATAAGAAGAGAACGTGTGATAATATATGTATACATGCGTGAATTAGTCTCTTTCGTCCTCGAACAACCTTGTCCGAATGAGTATTTACGAACGCCGGTACAATGCACGGGAATGGCAACACAACATATTTAAATCTCGTATGAAATTATGCGGTCAAATACGCAAACGACTTTGTCGATATATTATTGAGTCATCGTGAATTTTATCAGATTGAATTACACAATACCTTTTGGAATATATATATATATATATATTTTAGACCTATTCTTTATGTTGCTTATCGAATCACGTTAATCAAAATTTCTTTGTGATTTTATTCAATAAAAGATTCAAGAATAAGAAAAGAAAGAGTTACCTATAGGTAAATGTATACATTGTTTTTTTATTCATTCAAAAAAAATCCACATTTAATTAAAAACATTATTATCTGCTTCGATAAATTTCATTACACAATATCTGGTGAAATATATATTTTCTTCAGCATTTTTTACTTGATAAAAGATAGGATTAAATTAATTATAACATTTCCTTTTCAGACCAAATGCCGACTGCTTCATTCTAAAATAATTGTCTCAGATGTTCTACTTAATGATGGTAATATTTTATTAGTTGGATTTCCCCTAAATTTGGAGAATGAAATAGAAATTTTTGAAATAATTCCAGGAGGAAAGAATGGAGGAGGGAAAAAAGAGGCGTAGGGAAATGTTATTTTTTTGTTACCTGTACGAAAAAATCTATGAATTAATTTAATAATCATAAAATGCGTCACGCACACGTCATTGCTTAGAGCTAAAGAAGCCCACCTTCAGCGCATCCGGATTCTGATCTGTTGGACGATAAAAATTGTGATCATCGTAAGAACGTAATGTGGAAATTCCAGATACAAATAATAAAATAAAGCGATGCATTGAATGCATTATTATATGTTGATGCCTGTAATAATTGAGCCATCCATTGGTGAGATAATAAAAATTCTCACAAAATTACTTGACTATTACAAATATCATTTTATTTAAATATGATTATTTATTTCAACATGATTACACTGCTGTGCGACTACTTAACTAATTTTATGTCTTCTCTCTAATAATATCTGCATTAATTATTTTTTGAAGGTGTAATGGATGAAGGTATGTAATATGTAGATGATGAAATATCGGATATGATGCGTGGAATAAGCTGGTGGAGATGGAAGGGCGCGAGTGTCATGGAGCAAGGAGAATTCCGGGACCCCGGGAATGAAATATGATGCTCACTTATGGCGTTAGTTGCAACATATATGTTAAAGTCGTGAGCGTGCCACGCGAATTCCCCCGTGTCTGATGCCCTTGTTCACCTCTACTGCTTTTACCCATCAAATAACTTAAACTTGCTTACGCGGGCGTCCATCACTACGGCCACAAGAAAATACTACATACACAATAACTCATTTTATACCCACGAGTCAAGACTATACAATAGCTTCTGATTTTTAGATATTTTCAGAACGATTATTATTCATTTTTTGCTCATAAATTAGATAGGCATCTTGAGGGATAGACTCGTTTCTCACGTTGATGTTAATTGTTCTATTCTATCATACCTCTAGTCCTAGAAGAGTAGTCATTTGAAGAAATTACGTATAGGTTTCTTATATTTCAAATGAGATTCTGTTTTCCGATGGGAAATTTCACTTTTTAATGTACCACGGGAATTGTTATTTTTTTTTTTTGTATTTTAATTTTTTAAATAAAACTGTTTTTCTCTTAATATTTAGATACTCTTTAGAGTTGTAATTAGAGGTAACAATTTATTCAATTTCTGAGAAATGATTACTGCAGCATATAAATTACAGCATTGAAAAAAAATTAGATAAATAATTTCTTAATTAACAAATGAGAGAATTATTTATAAAATGATTGTTTGTAAAGTGAGTCTACAATTTTCTATTTATGGTAATTAATAAAATTATTCCATGTAAGTTTATAGTTTTCATAATAAAAAATTTAATGTAAAGTGATAAAATCTTAATATTATACTATTTTCTTTAACTTTTATATTCATATTGTAATCAAATAAAAAAGAAAATTTATAAATATGCTTAACCAACATTATGAAGCAAACTTTTACAAAATTTTATGAATTTTAAAAACTTTCAAAAATAAACGATAATAACTCTAAACGTCACATTGTTCGATACATACATTCCATCATCATTTTTACATAAGTAATTCCCTACAAAAAAGAAAAAATTTCTTCTCAAATTTGCTTTACAGATTTATCTAAATGATTGAAAAAAATAAACATCAAGACCATAAAAAATATTTTTTAAAAATAATTTATTGCCCCGAAAGGCCAGACATTGCTCATTATTTGCAAAAATGAATTTTTTTTGACTCTGAGATGAAATACAAGTCCGCGGTGTTTTTGCATTAAAATCTGTGACGCCTTATGTTCATCTCCTGAACGATTAACTCGTATGGGGAGATAGTGAATTCGGTGAAAGTCCACTGTATCCGGAGAGAAATTTTCTGACAACACGCCTCGCGTAACAAGCGACATTGAGATGGAGGCACTTAATGGGTTCGCGTTACCGCACGCGAACCTTTAAAGCAGCCAAATTAAAAGCCCACAAGTTTGTTTTCAATAATCGATTGAAAAAGAATTAGTGCCTCAAGGCGCCAAAAGGTATTACTGCCAAGATATGAAATCGTCCGACTATTTAGAAAGCAAGATGTTTATCTTCTCAAGAAATCATCTGTCAATGAGTCTTTGTTCTGGATGAATAAAATATATTACCAATTTTCCTCTATTTAATCTAACTCAATAGTTGTTAGATACTTCAAACTTCTGAATAGTCATCTCATATTGTCCTTCAATCAATCGGTATCCTCTTGATAATTTGAATAATTTGATGGTTTAGTCATAAAATACTTTAACGTTCCCTTAACCTTTCTGAAATTTTCATAATTTTACAATAAAATATTTTATTGAGAAATATTTCGAAAATTTTCAAATCAAACATAGAGAAGGGCTTGATAGTTGTCGATTATTTACATAAAGCAGTAACATCTGTAAATAAAAAAATATTCATTTTCAAGCTGTTATACTGGTTCTTCAAGGTAAAATAGTAATTTTCCAAGGCGATTAGAGTGTAACACTTAAAAAAATAAACAGGTAATAAGATGATCTTTTGCTTCTTTCCGAATTACTTCGGGATGTGGAAATGGTTTAACTTCATTCCCTCTTCAAGGTTGGCCACGATAAAAGGAGCTACTTCTAAATTTAGACTTGTCCACACAAAAAGTAAAGAAAGGGTACAACCGGTCTCAAACCGTTCAGGGTTCAGCGTCACCCAACCAAACGAGGGCTTTTATCCAACAAAAAAATTTTATAACTAACGAGTCCTTAAAAATCCTTCTTACTGTTAATGTTGTTGTATATACGTAATTATTACAAAATTCTAGTACTGATGAAACAATCTTTATAGTCTAATAAATAATTCAACAAATCCTTACATTAAACTTACTTTATTTAAAGCGTTTCTGCTAATAAAATTATTATCATACTTCTTATCTTCCAACATCATTCATTTTCTCATTAAAATAATTAATGATATTTTGTACAATTTCCCAAGTGCACATATTATTCATAGCAAATTGCTTTAAGAAAATTTTCTTTACTATTTCACATGTTTATAATGATTTGTGTATTAAAACAATTGATAATTTGACTAAATTTTTAAGTAGATATTTTTTTTTAATAGTTTTAGTCATCCCTGTTGAGAATACGTTGTGTTTCTTTAATTACTGCTTCGTGATCGACATCCACCAATAACCTTGATTCGTTTATTAAACTTCTCACTTGACTTGCTAAATATTCATCTTTAGTATATTGATAACGACAAACTGAGAAAGTTACTAATGTAATACCACATATTGATCCCATCGTCACATGTCCTGCTAATCTAATTCTACTTGTAAACATAAATGTCAGTACTCCCATGCCAATTCCACCAGTAATACCATATAACCAACTCGTTCTAAAGCATGGAATTTTAGCAACATCTTTTCCAAATATTATCACTTTTTTCTCCTCTAGACTTTGATCTAGATCAGCTTCTCTTGGATTCATTTTTATCTAAAAAAATAGAGAAACAATTATTAACACATTAACTTATCACTAAAATAAATTAATTCTCATTAAGAAAACAATTATTCAATGTTATTTAAATGTCATTATTACTTAGTTTTATCTTTGTAAGAAATATAGAGAGGTTATCAATTCTCAAGCATGTTTACCATGTGGATTTGATTGTTTTCATGGAACAGTAGCTGCTGACATTGAAAACTTGCCTTTAACTACAGTATTCTTGGCGGCAAATTTATCTACTCACATTACCATATATGCAATTAACATTTTTATTGAAGTTTATATGCAGAAATTAAGAGATCAGACGAGGATAAGCGTGAAGGAAAAAAGTTAATTGGTATTGTCTTTAATTTATTGAATAAAAAAAACTTGTAATAATGAAATTAACATTAAAGATTTTGTTTTCATATAACAGTCTCACTCAATCGAATATATAAGAGTTTGAATATTTATATTTGTGCCCAAGCAAAAAGTTGTGACAAGTGTTATTTGAATTTGATGTGAATATATTGATTTTTTCTTTATCCTTGGAGTTTGTAAATTCTCGTGCAAACTATGTCGTCTACTTTCATGACCTGCAATGCAAAAAATAAAAGTTAACAATTATTGAGTTTTAATTTTATCTTAATGATATTTTTTTGAATAGTTGATTTAATATGAGTATAAAAAGTGTCCTTGATTTTGTGCTTTGAAATTAAATATTGATAAAAGAGGTAAAAAATTTTTTTTTCAAGAGGAAAAAGATTTGTTTTAGGCTTTTAGAATGAGATAAATGGTTTGTTGTGATCTTAGTTAAATGAATTTTAATGTTACCACAAAAAACTGTTTTTTGTGTAGTCTTTATAATACTACGTTCTACTTAAAAATTAATTACGAGTTTAATATCACTTATGAATTCGTAGAGTTAAGCTCTTAAAAAAATCATAATGGATATACATGGCCTGGTACTTTCATTTCTTTTTCAATACAAGGATAAAAGTATAAAATATTTTTTGAACTGGAATAGATTTAGTGTTGCTAATTTAATCGGAGGAACTAATTCAATCAAGATCTATCAAGATATAAAAAGTAATTTGAGAATATGTCTTATTGTAAGTAGTTATCCCCTCTACTTATAAAAATATTCAACTTCAGTACACGTACAGTCAACTAGTTAATAATTGACGGTACATTTGATCAATCAGCCATCATTGTTCATGTAATTATAGGGCTAGGCATTACTTAATCATACAATTAAATTATTTTTATATATAAATTATCTATACATTCTATTTTTTCCTACTTCCTTTTCCTCCCACTCACTTACTCATCTTCTTTGAGATGAAAATAGAAATATTACTTTATAAATTACCCGGATAAGGTGGAATTATCTGAATTATTCTTAAGTACTTGTGTGTTAATAGATACTAACAGCTTTCATTTCCGTAGGACCGAACTCGCGTTCAATGTGGGTATCCTTCTGTCCCTTTTGAATGTGAGTCATTTTATTGCCATCTAAAGTAATAATACTCTTTACTTTGCGGCCATCCGGAGTTTCCTCATCAAATTCTTCACCAAGTTTGAATTTTATTTCAGAGCTTTTAAAAGTACTAGTTGTTTTAAGCGTGTAGAGTCCATTATCCTCTGTAAGTTCGACTACTGGACTTACGCTTGCTCCCATTTTTCTTGTTACTAATCCCACACCTAGAAAAAAAAATTATTATCAATTATCTTATCGTAGACTAAAAAATTGTATCACGCTATTTTTTAACTTTTTTTTTTTTTTAATTTATCGTTCTCATAATAGACTCATGTATTTTCTAGAAAAAATGAAAAAAATTGATTCTGATTTAATCAGCCAGAAATTGAACATTGATTGGCGCGTTTATTAATAGTCGTGATAAGAGAAAATAAATGAGTTACATATGTTTTATTAATACTATTCAGATAATACCTTTTATAAAATTCCCTAGCTATATGAAGAAATTTTTTTATGAGAAATAATTACAAAATTCATGTTTGAAAAAAGTAAATATTTGAACACACTTTGCCATGTAAAGACTCATTAAACTTTCGATATAGTGATTTCATAAATGTATTTTTTAATTATATATAGTTTGTAAAACTTTTTTTATGTTATGTAAAAATAACAACATTATTGATAATATTTTATGAGTTGTAAAACGTTGTTTCCATGTCAAATTAAATATGGAATTTTACGTAAATATTTTACAAAAAATTTTCTCTGCATAAAAAATGTATTAATTTAAAAAGTAAAAATTAATTATTGAAAATTAATGAATGTTTTTTTAAAAGCATTCTTATCCACCTAATAATTTATACTTATTGAATATAATTAAATTCATGACCTGGACGTAGAGATGCCAGACTAAGTTAATGAAATCAGCAATTAAAACATTGAAGTTTGACCCTTCAATTACTAATACTTGCTGAAACTGTCTCTTATCAACATACACCGGGCTTGATCTAAGCTAATATTTATTTCCACTTACATTATTACATAAAGTCGCATATTTGCTTATTGGAAATAAAATACGCAATTGGAAGATTTTATTTACGAAAAAGCTGCTCATTAAAACGTATTTTATGGTAATTTCGACTGTTAAGTTCACGAAATGATCAGCATATTGAATATATGTAGTTAAATGAAGTAGACTAAATTTTTGACCATAATGATCGCGTGCTGGCGGTAGTTTGCATTAAATGAAACAGCTTCTCGATTGGTAATGATGTGATGATGGCCACGTTGGTGATAGCTATACAGTGCCAAAGTAATAGCTCAACTGTCATCGATGGCATCCTAAAAGAGACACTTCCCACGGACATCGACACTTGAAGAGACACCTGAGTGAATCACCATTTTACTAAACTATTATGCAATCAAATGATAATTCAATCTCTTTCCTGTCTATTGCAATACAAGACTTATCAATTATGAAATGGTTAGTTGTTCGAGTCTATATAACGAGAATTTTTTTTCCCCATGGGGAAGACATTTAATTATTCTTTTAAATTATCTAAACCATCAATCATTCTTTGTACTCAGCAAATTAAATGTCTATTAAAACAAGAGAATATTATTAATTTTTCAATTTGAATAATTTATATTTGGATAAAACAAATGAATACTTGAACAACTCAAGTTGATTACCATTCATTTTGTAAAAAGTATATAAAAGAGTAATTGAGCAAAACATGTACTCACCCAAGGCTTTCATCATCTCATCAAAATTCTCGCTGGTGGATAATTTGTATTTTTTACCCAAAAAATCTGCACTTGCCATGGTGATTAGTAGTTTTAAAAGCTTCTTAAGACTTTTACGTTTATTTAAATATTTATAAGATGTTTGGTAAATAGTGAGATACTGGCAGTCAGGATTAGCAAGGAACACTATGCGTCCGTGCCGATCGTCTCTCCAGCCAAGCGACAACTGAATATTGAATCAATGCAGTCATCGTCTGCTAAAATATAGGTCCCAACGACGGCTGGTAAGATCGTTGCCATTTGTATTATTAGACCACAGATTTTCGGGCGAGCAATTTAAAATCTTCTTAGCATCAGTAAATTCCATAGATTTTAAATTTAAATTTTTTAAATGTTTTTTGACAATTTTTTGCATTTTATAAATCAATAATCTTGGATATTTTTATGTTAGAATAACAAATATCTCCATGGTTCTCATGTATTTATGATGGTCAATGCCTGATTACGTTGATATCTCAAAGTTTTCATCTTTTTGTGAATCATATAATCAATAACACGTGTTGAACATGAAACACGCGCAACTTTGTAGCAATGCAGTAATGAGAAATATTTTCTGCAGTATAATAAATTATTTACAACGTAATAATTCATTAGAGAAGCTTTTTGAAAATAATTGAAAATTGGAATATTATGAAAATTATTTTGTACAATATGAAATCTGTAAAAAAAAGAATAAATTTTTTGAATATAGATTACTTGCAGATTTCTAAATTTTTCCAAGTAAGCAAGGACAGTATTTTATATAGGTCAAGAAGTGTCCTACCTGCACCCTCTGAAAAGAAGTTTGGCAACACTGCCGGTCTGGAAACCGCACGGCAAGCACGTTCCGCATCGTACAGTGGCCGCAACCGCAGTTTAATGCCGTGTAATGTAACAGACGGTTTCTTATTTCGATATATTGCTATTTTCACGAAAATATTTTGGTAAATTACTGATATTTTATAAGCATTATCTTAAAGTGGTTCCAAATTATTCAGCAATAATTATATTACTCCAATTAATTGAAAATATTTTTACAGATATTGTGGAGAATGATGATTAGCATAGAAAAGTTAATATCAGCAGTAAAAAAACATCCCGTTTTATATGACAGCTCTGATGCAAAGTACAGCAGTAAACAAGCCAAGTTGAAGGCATGGAATGCTGTGGCGAGAGCTACAATACAGGGATGGGATCTTATGTCGTCTCAGCAAAAAGAGCTAGAAGGTAAATGAATACCCTATAATCTTTTTCATTGTATATAAACACACGCTCAATACATCAAGGTATGAACTTATCAACTGAGTTTTTCTATCTGAAATGAATGAGTAGGATAACGACAAAGATTATTATTAAACAATTGATAATCATGAATAAGCATAACAGCTGATTAATTGAATCACTTTGTAGATAAAATTTTGCGAACCAAATGGAGAAATTTGAGAGATTGTTTCGTCAAAGAATTCAAATGGCAATCAGAATTTTTCAAACATCAAAGAAGAACAAGAAGAAAATATATCTACTATGATTTACTCACGTTTTTAGCCCCATCTATACAAACCAAAGTGTAAGATTCAACTCTAAATAAAAATGCATGCACAATAGATAATTATAAAATATCAATATTAAACATTATTAATGAATGACAAGTTTCTGAATAACTAATCGTCAATTGATTGGTTATTATTTCAAAACATCAGTTTACATTTACTGTCATCATTTATTCATAATGTAAACATAAAACTTATCCAATTTAATATTTCAATCATTTTGTTTAGCTTCTGAAGTTTAATATTAATATTTCATCTATCATATGAATAATAATTCTAGCTATCCTATCATATGTTAGGATACCTGGAATTATTTTTTTTTATATCTGAATTATTTAATATCAACGTAGAATGATTTTTTTTTAGGCCAGACAATGGAATACTTCAAGTTCAATGTAAAACTGAAAGAAATGATCTTTTGAGTGAAGAGACTAATGATGAAAGTAGTATGCCTTCAGTTGCATCAGCAGATGAAAATGAATTCCCGGACGTAAAACTAGATACAGTTGCTGATGATAAAAGCAAAAAACAATACTCAGTGGATCCTTTGTATGATGAACCGATCTCCGATGATAGTAATAGTCAAATGCCTCCGGTCCCAACCACTCATTTACAAGCCGAAAAATTTAAGGAAACGGATTATGATAGAATGTTTTTATTATCTTTACTGCCTTCATTCCGACAAATACCTAATGATATAAAGCTTCAAGTGAGGATTCAATTTCAGCACATACTCTTTTCTGCGCTTAATCCGAGTACTATTGTAGCAGATAAGTAGTTATATGTAAAAAATTAATTCTTTAAGTTATTTAAAATATATTTAAGATTAAAAACAGGTTATTTAAATTCAATCAATTAGAAAATGACAGTCAATTTTCAATAACTTAATGAAATGTCTGTGACCATATTTTCTAAAAATATCTATATATAAATATTATTTCATTTTTTTGTTATAACTAAATTCAGCGCGAATTTTAAGATTTTAATGCCATCTGTTAATTATGTTTAAAAGCATGTGATAAAAATGATCTCATTTGAGAAATATAACTATTCATCAGATGGTAAAGTAGAAAATTGTCTCGAGTGTAAGTAAAGAAGAACACACTTGCCATCATATCGACTGAGTAGTAGCACAAAAATTTGAGTTCTTTTTTTCAGAAAGCGTTATTAGATAGATTAAAAGATTGAAATTTACCTGTATAAATACGCTTATAAAATTTTGTTATAAAATTAATATGTTTATTTAAATAATGTTAAAATAAATATCTGTTCATTAACTATAAAATTTCATCGGTCATTACACATTCGCGATGATTGCTAGTGTTTTGTAAGAACTAATAAATTATGTTAATTTTACTATTAAAACAATCTAATCTCAAAATTAACTGCATTCTTTCTAACTACATTTAGAAAATTGTATAAAAGAATATATAAAGTAAATTATAGCTGCGCAGAACCTCTCCAAGAAGCATCAAAGCCACAAGCTCCGTCGGAATCAGAATCGTGTGATATTATCGGAGTAGTAGGTGTAACCGCAGTGGTTGAAGATGGTCGTTTGTTCTTAAATTTTGGACTTTTATTTATGACACCCTTGTTTTGTGGTAACGGGGTACTTGGTTGACTTGCTGCATGTTGATTTCGTAAAGAATTAAAGTCTTGTGCTCTTTTACTTCTTCGTTTTTTGATTGGAGCATATTTTGGTGGTGGCATAAGTGCATGTTCCTGAAAATTTAATTTTTTTAATTATAATAATTCTTATTTCTATTTTACTGGTTGAAATGAATTTTCATACTTGTATGTTATCAGCAGAACCCCAAGTTTTATGAATTTTATCATGATTGGTGCTTGTACTACTGGCTACACCCAAGAACTGGCTGAAAGCTTCCGTCGTACGTTTCACGCGCACGTTCAGTGAGCCAATTCGTAGGAAACCAAGATCTTTCTCTGTAGAAGATATTCATGTTGATATTATTTTTATACTGAAAAGCGATTTTTTACTGAGAGAAAAAAAAATTAATAGAAAAACAAGAAATAAATGCGATGAGATAAATATTTTATTACAAATTCTTCATAACATATTTATTTTTTATGTAATTTTTTTTTTTATTAAAAACATGTAGACAATAAATATTTTTTATACATTCTTTTGATATAAAAATAGATATATTTCATAATTAAAATAACTTGATTTTTCTCTCAGTAAAACAAGAATAATTGCAAATAATGAGAAGCTAAAATACCTGTGTGCTTTTTCCTTGCTTTTATTTCTGAAATAAAATATTTATGTTATTCAAGGACAAAATTAATTAGAGTAATTAATATATACATTGTTAGATAACATTCATTGGATAAAATTTAAAAGGGTAAGCAATAAAGATAGTTGAGTTAACAACAAGGGAAAGTGTTCATTGACACTGTAACAAATAAGACTTAATATATGAACTTGTAAATAAAGCATTACATCAAACAGCATCAGGTATCTCATCACTGTCTTATTGTTTCGTCGTTCTTCATTTTTTGTAATATAGAATAAATCTAGCATAATGAGGGAGCAGTTATTGACTACAATACCACAATAATATCCGTATCTTACATGACAACCGGACGGAAAATGTTGACGCTGTTAATTGATAGAAATGATAGAGCTAATTACTAGCTGGATAGAATGAGATCCCTCAAGGTAATTAAATCAGTACCACACGAGGCTAAATAAATTAAAGCTGTTGCTGTGGTAATGCTAAACAATCTCTCAAGCTAAGTACGAAAGAGGGAGTTGAAATATTGTGTACAGAAAAAAATGGGGAAAAATTAATACAATAATTGTTAAGGGAAAATTTCTTACGTAGAAAACGCGTGCTTATATTTCTGATGGTGTTATAATAAGTGTGCGTGCTATCATGTAGATGACAGGAAATAAAAAAAAGATACCAGGTACCAGCTTGACAATTAATATACACTATCTAGAAAAGACGTTTAGTAACTACCAGTGTTGTATGTGTATAACATTTTATATGTTTGAAACTTGAAGAGGGAACACGTAAATTCAAGATAAAAAAATACACGCATGATAAAATGATAATTAAATGTAACAAAGTAAGAATAGTGAATAAATTGCTTTTTTCTTCAACTTTATAGACGCACGATAGGTTCCCCGAGAGTGTTGAAACAATGAAATGTATTAATGTTACATGTTAATGCAGTTTGTTGTTGAGTTCTTGAAAAATATCGTTAGTAATTAGTGAATTAATGAGTTAGATCGTTTTGTTTGTTTACGAGAACATCATTAATAGCTATTTATATTCTCAGAAAGAATTATTTTGCTAGTGAAGAAACTCTTTTAGATTATTAGAGATTAATCAAATTACAGTCTCTGATAAACTAGATAAATAACCATTTTTACAAAAGAAATTATTTTTAATGATATTTAATGAGACAGAAAACAACAGTTTATTGAATTATAAGGACAATTTCTATTATTATATTTGATAAGAATTATTGATAAAGCAATTTTCCTATCATACAAATATTAGTTTTTCTTTCTTTTCAAAATAATTCTTTTCCTCAGAGTATTAGCAGATTAATAAAAATTAGTTGAACAGAACTCGAAACATCATACATTACTCTATTCAAGATGCTTTTATGCATAATAGCTGATACAAACAAGCGTACTTTACTATATTAACAGAGTTGTGCTTCTCAACTTGCCTGAGTGTAGCAGCAGCAATAATCCCTACAACAGAAGAATTACGAATACCCCATAGATTGAATCAGAATGAAAAAAAAAAGGTCATGACGATATATCATAAGTGAAACCAATCACCGCTCTAATAGTACAGTTTCATACAATTCAACTGGCTTATATACTTTATACTGAAGGGTTGTAATAAAATTCAATGCAAATGAGAACATATCGATATTAGGCTTGAAACTTGGATTATAATATTGCTAGAGAAATTACAGCAAGCTCACTCCATCCATCTTAAACCACTACTACTTGCTTAATTTATAGTGGAATCGTTTTGATATTTCTACGTGTTGATGCTGAGAATATTCCAATTCATGTGTTCTACGTTAACTTTATGGCATGAATATTAATTATGTATTTTTCTATTTCACGAAAGATAGCTTTTTTATTTTAAATTAAATATTATTTCTATATGAAATTTATTTATTACTTCAAAGCTGTCATATTGGAGATTTTCACATATTTTCTACTCAATAACATTTTTTTTTTCTTTTACTAAAAAAAAACTTCACTTTTTATTTGTATCTATTATTTTAAACTCACTAAGTATTGGAGGAAGAAAAACAAATAAATAAACTCACTGCGAAATGTATCTTGACTAACTGCTGCTTCCTGTGAGGCCAAGTATTGCCTGGCTTTTTTACCACTGTGATCACGAATCTCCTGATTTGCACCTGTCAATAAAATTTAATTATGAGGTATTTATTGTTATCAGATGACAATTGAAACTTAATATACCCAATAAATAATAAATAATTAATGGAGAAGAAAGTCAATAAATAAAAGTAATCGCTGTGGACTTGCACAATCGATGACAAACTGTTTGTTTGTCGGCAAGTCTTTGAACACGACAAGTTCTGATTGTTTATGCGGCCGCACCCAATCTCACGTTTATTACCTTGTCTTATAGAAGGCGATGTATATATAGAAATAAATAAACGCATCTTTGCGTAATCATTAGCATATTTGCCCTCGGTAGATATGATTAACGGACAAGTATAAGGATATGTTGATTATATTTTATAGCAAACAAATAGATCGAAAAACTTACCATACACCTGGACAAGAAGGTTGAAGATATTCTCGTGATTAAACTGCATGGCTATGTGGAGTGCCGTGTAACCCTGTGAATAAAAAATTATCAAGATTTGTTTGGATAATAAAGAATAAAGCCCGTCCATTTCCTTTACACTCCGGCCTACTTCGGCACATGTTATTATAGTATAACATTTTACAGTCTTTGCGTGTCTCCAGGTGATACGTAAGAGACTTAAGAGTTAAAGTAATAGATGGCGAAACGCGTGAAGGAGCTCAAGACAAAAAACAATGGGCTAATAATACCATTTTATGAATATTAGCAGGTACCAGCGTGTGAATTCGTGTTCTCACTATGTAAACCACTTAAAATTGACAACAATCATATTTATACAAATTTATGTATTTTTAATAAAATTGGAAAAATACTCTATTGTCGAAAGTTAACATTATTTTCATTATCTGTTCGGGGTCGTTTGTAAGTTGAATTGATTATTAAACAAATCCTTTTTTTCCAACTAGCAAATGAATGAGACATGGAATGCTAATTTTAGACTAGAAATTCGTGTATGGTTCATGCTTATAACACGAATACAATACTAATCAAATCTGTCACGCGCGTTTTACGTTCCCTCGGTGCGTTATATCGCGTTAAAGAAAGGAAAATAGACAGCATATGCACCCTTAGCACGAGATCCAGCGAGGGGTTGTTGGGATCACTTTCATTTACTTCACTTTAAAGTCCACTATAAGTTATTCGAGAATATGTAGCGGCTCGTATGTACGTACATATATACATGAAATGGTGCACTCTATAGGACGCAGTGGGGTGACTTATTCTTATTCCACCGACTTCCACCCCTTTCACGGGGCCATTTCGCTCGCAATAGTCAGGCGACACGTGTGTGAGCCACGGCAAGTGGCGTGGCACAGCTATTTCGACGTCTGCTCTCTCTAGTCGTCACCCCTGTGTGACTCTGGAATACATCTGTGTATGTAACTTTTTATACTTTCGACAATATTTTAAAGTAGCATTGTCCTGAAACGTGTGTGCTCTCAATCCGAAACAATATCGCGACTTTGTCTCTTTGAAGCCACTTGGCTCCCATTTCCCGTTTTTCTTTCCACCCTTTTGCTTCTTCTCTCTTATACTCATCCGTCATACAAGACCCTTTTTCAACAGCTTCTCTTGTACTCCAAGTCTCGGGAAACAGGACAGCTGCTGGCCACCAATATCACTTGCGTATATCACAGCCTAAGATTTTCAATTTTAATATTTTCTGCTGCTCCAATCCCCACCGATTTTTGTCGTTAAATCTTCTAGACCCTTTTTTACGATATGTTAAATCATATTAAACATTTTTGAATCGTTTATATACGACCCCTTTTTTCAATTTCATGCTTCTTTCGAAACTGAATCATTTTAACTTTCAATAAATACTGATTGAGCTGAACAATTATATTTATTGGCCTTAATTAAAAGTCAACGTAGTAATTAATTTTTCAATGGTCTTTGAAATAAATATAGAGTTTAATAAAAAAATCCATTACATGATTTTTTGCCCAGTCTTCTTGACCGGATTATTCAAATTGTCACATTGATTAAATTATGCATGCATCAAATTACTTGGAGAAACTTGCAATGAAAAGAGAGCAAGGAAAGTTTCAAGAAAAGCTGGTACATCTTATCATCTTGTAATAACCTTCTCGATGGCTTCTCTTGAAAGGGGATTTAAAAGGACCACAAGAGAGTATGTGGCGGCGGCTGTGAACGTGCGGGCTCTCGGACGAGATTGCATTGTCGTGGCTGTCGCACGCCTCTATGGTAGAGCAAAGGCGCCACCCCGGCGCGGCTTACGGTCCTTCGAGGTTGCTCGGCTAATTTTTTTTTTCTGTGGCGATTAAATCCGAGGCGATCTGACGATAAGCTGACTGGAGAGCTCGTGGTATTGGTGACAGATTAAAGTCTTCTTGCAGTAACGAAAAAATAAAAATCAGGCAATACTTTAATACCTGCGACCAACACATTTTTTTGACATTTAAAAGAAAAATTATTTTTCCTACATATGCCTGTGAAATATTAAGATAGCAATCACAGCCGCTGATAAAACGATCCGCGTGAGATGGTACGATGTTGAGAAAGAGAAATGAAAGTCCTAAAAAGAAGATACAGTGGAAAGAGAACTGGAGAAGCAAACGCGTATATTCAGCGCGAGAGAGAGCTTTCTTCCGATAATTGGGTACAAGGAATGCAACTCTTTTTTTTCATCGTCTCCTTGTGGATTACTCCAACGGCAGTGTCGTCGTTGCGTCGTCGTAACCTCCGTCGTCTTGTGTATGTACACACAGAGCTCCTGCAGTGCTATCGCGTACATAAGTGAGTGTAACGAGATAATTAATGTTCTACTGAAATTAGCGATTTACATGTAAGGATACTCGGGGAAAGCTAAATTACATTTTTATCTTTCTTATTCTGAATTTAAATGACAACAAGAGACATTTGAGTGACAATTTAAAGTGTTTCATTTTCACACTTTTATCAAGTTGACTGAATATTCTTTGACATTTATGAATTATATTCATTTCTCCATCAGTTATCAAACACAACATCTTGATTTTTCGCTATTAAATATCATTATTATCAAAAACAAACACTTATTTGTTTTCCAAATGAATCAGCGATGTATCAGTAATTAATTTGGATAAAAGGGAAAATGGTGATTTATATGATAAATTTTTTTGGTGAGGTCGTTTCCAATAAATCACTTGCATAGGTTGTCCAATGATCAACCTACCGACCCACCTATATCACCTATAAAAGCACCATGATACTGTACAGTGTTTGTCGCGAGCCGCTAACGAGCCAAGCTTGCTCTCAAGAGCTCTCTGGCTTATATAAGTCTTATACAGAGTAAAGCAGCAGACCACACGCATCTGATCCTATCTGCTGTCTTCTCCTTTTGCCTTTCTTTCCATACCATGAGACTCTCTGTTCTTCCTCTTCATTTGCTGTCTTTTCGTTTCGCTTCTCCATTCAGTTTCATCTCACTCTCTTTAACTTGTAAATTAGTACCTTATAATTATCTCAAACTTACCCCATTCTGAAACAAAAAAAAAAGAGTATGACTTTTTCATTCATTAAATAAATTATTTGAATTATTCATCAGCCAACTTACTGTTGTTTCATTGACACTCTTTATCTTGTCCCCGTGGGTGCCAGCTATCAACTTGACGATGTTTTCATCCCCATGCTTAGCTCCCCAATGCAATGCAGTCTAGAAACAGAAAAATAATTGCACTTCTGAAATGTCTGATATAAATGAGCTAAACGGTACGAGTAAAGATTGGTTGACGAGACACCAACAGCTGTAGTTCAAGAGTATTTTCAGAATAAATTTCTTCAGAAAATACTCGTGAATTAAACTAAGTCGTACGTTAATTCCACGACGGTTGAATGGATAGCTACGTCGTATACCACTTAAGTTTCTTTTTTAGAAAAAAAATCTAAGAATTCAATGAAAAAAAAAAAGGAAATGAAAATTTTAAGAATATTAAGAGTCTTGATGAACATGGGAAAAATTCTAAAATATTGCAAGATTGAAAAAGAAACTCAAGTAGAAAGTGTTGTGATCTGCAAATTAGAATTTAATGGATTCCATGTGTCATGTTACGTATGTCATATGAAAGAGCTTTAGTACAACTATATGACGTTCTCTTCCCCTTGGCTCTTTTTTTCTACCCTCAGCTCGTTCTTCATCTCATTCTCTCATATGACCATTGGACGACTTGCAGCCACAGGCTCATTAGTGGTGGAAAAACTCATTCTAACGAGACGACGTTACCTAATGACGAAATGAACGTGTGTGAAGTATTATATTTACTCTCACAAACATAGAAAAGCTTGTAAAAATATTCTATAGACCTAAACGAAAGTTGATTCATCAAGTAATTTATTTTTCCTAGATGATTCCGAAGATTTGAGATGAGAGGAAATATTTATACAGCGAGTTTATATTGAAAATAAATTGAATAATTTTTTTATCTAGCTTGTTTATAAATGGAAGAGGATGTAGTAAACACAAAGAACTGTCTACTTGCATGGTGCTAACAAAGTTTTATGAAGCGCGATAGTGCCATGCCTCCGTCGCGGACTTTGGCACTCCTTAATTTGTGAACGCCGCGCGACCTGTCGGGTTGGGAGTCCAGACCGCAAAAGGATGGTATGTCGTCCTGACACCATGATATATATCTTTAGTGGTGTAGCACAGGGGACTCGATGTTTCTCCTCTTTTCCTCCTGTCAGTGGTCTGCTTTACGTCCCAATGGACGTCTTAGAGAGCCAGTAGAAATCGGCCGGTGAGAATTCCAATTCTCAGCAAAATCCGCCGGAAGGAATAGGTAGAATGCGACACCTCAGCAGAAATGCCTTTGAGTTAGGGTCAAATGAAATCTCGATGAAGCTGAGGCAAAAGGAAAAGAATAGAATTTTCGTTGGAGGTCATGTCGTTTTCGGTTGGATTGTGTGAGGCAACAAACGTGGGGTTGCTGATTAAAGCCAAGAAGAAGAAAGTTTTGTCTTCTTGGTAAGTTGGAGCCGCTGCTACTGCGCGGGTAGCTTCTCTGATGTATGCGAGCGATACAGATATCTCCGCGGAGGAATTTGCGTTGAATTAGCGTATAATCGTTGGGCCCGATCTACTTCATACGGAATCCCGCGGGCCGTTTACACGTGTCCACGGCCTGTATTCTCTGTGCGAACACAATATTTAGTGGCGGTCTCACCGCCACTGAGAGCGACTCTCGTGGGACTCGGTGCATCGTTTGCCGCTCTTTTTGTTCTTCTTAACATTTTTCAAAGACTCTTTGACTCTATCTCCTGTTTCACAGGCTCGAGAGGTCACCAAACGGTTCGACGACGCTCCCTAGGGTCATTGCTGGATATAATAACATGCAATCTCTACATATGTAGATATTCTAGCTATTCTCTAGGCCTTTTGCTTTATACCTGCCACCTTTTTTAAAAGATTCTTCACCATCAAAAAAAAAGTAGCCTTCAATTCAATTGAATTTCACACCGGAAGACTCTAAAGGTGCCATTACAGATGAAAAAGTGACGAGTATATGCTTTAGAAACTTGTTTTTTCCTGGATATATTCAATTGTCCAAGTCCCGCCCAACGATTAACGTCAATCAGTATATCACAATGTTATCCCCCACAATCGCATATATTTATTTCTGCCACTGTCGAGTGGCCAACTCGAGAAATGTTTCTTCAACGCCTCAAGCAAGCACCAGTCTCGGTTAGTTGATCACACTTTGAGTTAGTGGGGTTTTTTGCACTAGCATCTCATTTGTCTATAATCTCTGGCAAATGGAGAAAAAATTCCAGTACTAAGAGCAAGTCGAGAACTTGATGATTGATGAAGAAAAATGAATTACGTATATGAGTACAAAGTTAAACAATGACTTCGCGAGAAACCTGCGACGGATACTCATTGCCGGCAGGTGCAGACATTCGTCGAACCGCGACGTGACAAGACATTGCCATCAGCCGCCCATTACGTTGTCAGTTCGATTCACTCGAGCGGAGACATACATCCATGGACACTCATGTCTACGACAATTTTTACTAGTTATTGCAGGAAATACTTTTGAGCTTTTCTTGACCGGAAATGATACAAGAAAGTGCATACAAGTTACGTTTTAACGATAATTGATATTAGGTGTATGGTAAATGAACAAAAAGTACATGAATATTTTATTCGTGAAACGATCATTAACGACTAATTTTCATTATTTAAATGCACTTCAACAGACAACTTGGCTAATTAAAATAAAACAATCTTTTTTTTTACTGATAATTGCCAAGTAATTGTATTTTAATTTTCTAAAAATACTATTCAACATTTTTTTTTTCTACATTTATCCAAGTGGTAAAACTCCAATACTCGATTACGTAAAATAAATGGAAACCATCAAAATAAATTCCACCATCAAAGCTGTCATTATTCAAATACTGCTTCTTGAACTGGTAGTACAAAAGTAGTAGGATAATGTATTATTATTGGCATTAAATAGCAAACTATATGGTCTCAATTCCGGATTGTTAATTACGAATAATGAACGATCCACTTCGATACGACAAAGTTCTGTGAGCATTCGAACGTGGACGGTATTTCACCGTGGATTACTCGGCTTATGCGCTTTCGTTCTGATAGCATTAGAATGGGCATAAAGAGCAGAGAACGAAAGTGAGAGTGAGAATAAATAGAAAAGAGAGAGAAAGAGAATTGAGGGAGATTGTAGAGTAGGTATGTAGTGGTGTGTCACGCGTTTCCACCCTTCTTTCGCGAAAACTCTGACTACCCTCTGAAATTATCAGCACGCGCTATTATATTTCGGTACATATGTACCGTGATAAAAGGTAATCGGTTGCCGAAAACGAGCCGCAAAACACCCGTTGTACGCCTTGCTGCCGCTCGAAGATAAATCGTCGACCACCGTTTTTACCTGTTGCGAGGGTATTATTTGGACGCAGTTCAGTATTTTTCGCCTCGTATATCGGTTATTTGCTTTATTTCTTTCATTCCATGTGATTTACATTCCTGTCGACATGTTCATCCCTTTATTCTCTCAATAAAAATTATCGTGCCGCTGTGTTGGTTGATATTACATCCAACGTGTACGTATATATATATATAAGTATCGATCACGAGCAAAATCACTGGTGCTTGGAGTTAAGGGGTGAAATTGTAAGCTGCTTTAGAAGCGATTGGAGCTGTGAGAGGAGAAGAGAAGAGGGATTTAGGCGATTAGGTAAACCGGGGATTAGTCGCAGGCATACCACTCGATACCTCCTGCTTTAGTTCCCTACCCTTTGACCTCACTACAGCCTGATCTAACAGCTATATGTACTGATCCTCTCAACTCCTCTATGCTACTCTATGCATACAGCACGCAACATCAATTGGATTGTCTGTAACATTATTAATGTTTGTTCTTGCCCTAGCAAAACTTTACTTTGATCCGAAAATCATTATACTTGGAAATGAATCAGCTTTTCATTTGTAACAATTAATTTTTATTTATATTTATGATTTTTTAAATCAATATTAATTGTATTTATTGTTAATTGTTGGTTGGAAATAAAATTTAGAATTGTTTATATGATCGAATTATGAAATTCTCGCAAACAAGGTCCATTAATTATGACGAGATTCCTCTCCTGTACCAAGAGAAAAAATAAGGAGCCATAACAGTAGATGGCTTGGATAGATGTGACGATTTTATCGGGAAAATCAGTGAGATATTGAAAATTAGAAGAATATTTTGTAAACACGTAGTAGAAATAAAGTTAAGCAGAGATGTAGTGATTTTCATCATTTTGATCATAAAACTTGGCAGGCAGAGTCGTTTATTTGGGCAACCGCTTCCTCGAGAGTAGAGTATATGCTCGTATCCGCATACCGTGAGATTGTATCTCTTGCGAGAGCGCGCCTTTGTAAGTTTTTGTGCGAGTTGCGTACGTATTTATGCGAGGCGCTCTCTCCTCGGCAGCGCCACTACATTTTCTACTTTTTTTCTTTTGTTTCTTCTTCTTCTCTTTTCCCTCGCCAATTCATGACATACCTGAAAAGCGATGAACCTAGTCGCGTTTGCATCGTGCAATAAATTATACGAGATCCCAATCGACGATCTTTCCCCCTTCCGTTAGAGAGTTTAGCGTTATTTATGGTAAACCTCTGTCACTAAAGCTCGGCATATACGATAAAACTAAAGGAACATTTCTACTCGATATCTCAATTTTTCTTTTATTTTCATTTTCCATGTTTAATAATTCTCCGATTACTTCGTTTCTGCTTACGAAAAATTCCACTTTTTTCCCAAGTAATTTCAATTGACCACTTCGGAAGTATTTTTGATGAGAATGCAGCGTAATTGAAAGGCATCATGATCTTCAACGCCAGAGGAAAAGAACCATTATATATTAAACGTTTTTTTTTTTCATTCTTTTTGTGTTCACATTGTCTTCATCGTGCAGTAGATTGAATCGTTCCACTTTAGCTGATTGATTTATTCCGCTACATGTACCAATTCATTTTCCATTGATTTTATCGAAAATTTATTTTACAAAATTTTTCCCTCTGTAATTAAGGCAAAAATTAAATTCAAAGAAACCGCTAATTGTAAGTTGAATTTTTGTTATTTTAATCCATTAAAGCTGATTGAAATTTAGGTTTGATAAAAAAAAATATTCCCTTCATTGTGAGTCTGTGAATTTGATTTATTGAATTTCCTGAACCAAGAGAGCGTTTAATTTACTTCTCAGTTGTATGAAATAATTAAAATGATTGATTTAATTGCAATTTATTGTTCCCCTTAGAATATGATGTTATCAATATTATCACATTATTCATAAAATCAGTCTTGATATTTATATACTTCCTACACATATATGCTTTCCGGCACTACGCAAGGCTAGTTTACGTCGCGTAAAAAAATCGAAGGAAGTCAAGAAGACGGTTGTAATGTCGATGAATATTTATGGCTCACGTCGAAATAGTAAACTTATCAGGAGACATAACTCACTCGTGCAAGAAGAATTGACGAGTTTTCAATGTAGATAACAATGTCAAATAAAAGACCACGAAGAGAAACAATAATGGTTTTTACATATGATAATAAATACCAGAGAAATAATTCCACCACTCGATGTTCATTGTATTGACACATGATATTTTGGATTTTTAAGTAATATTAATCGATGGAATGATATTATGTGGACATGAGAATGGCGTAAAGGCGTCGCATCGACCAAAGGGTTCTACAGATTTTTGCGGATAACGGGCAGCTGGCGTGTGGTAAGCCACACTCTGGCCGCAGTGCCGCGTCGCTCGTGCATCACCGGCCACTCTATTAACCCCAAGCTCGTATAGCTCCACGACGCACCCCCAGATACAGGACCCACTGTTCGCATAGCCACTGTGGCTGAGTCTACTACAGTTCATGGGTGAACCTCATACTCGTCGTTATCGCTATATCCTATTCTCTTGTCATCATCCTGCACTAAATTCCAATAAGGTCATTCATCCTTGTAATAATTATACTGTAGAGTGTAAATATATGTTCTTCATTATGATAAGCTAAAGATTTTTTTTATTTAATCCAATATATTTTTTTAAAGCTGATTTTCTCATCTTAATTGGTTCAGTAAATAGTGATTGGAGATCAGTAACTATCAGTCGATGGCGTCAGTGTCGAGTTTGTTGGTGAAATTCAGTACAAATTTTCTAGAAAAGTCGATTAAATTAAATGAGATCCACCGATTGAAAATTTTTTGAATTGTAGAAAATTATCCAAAATAATTTGAAGCTTTAGGCTAAACTCAAAGTTTAAGTAAAGAAAAAATCCTCGTCTCGATCTCTGCTCGTTAATAATCTTATCATAAATCAATAGTTGATCAAAGAATCTTTTTGTTTAGTAGAATGTAAGGCAACAAAAAAGAAAATTTCTTGAAATTGTTTATATATTTATCGAGATTAGATTTAATATTAAATATCCTGTTTAATGGAATTTAGTAGTGAGAGTGCTGAAACGAAGTTGATGTAAGCACATGCACAGTGTACAAGCTAATAATACATAGACGCGACAAGGATGTATGTAGCAAGCTTTATATAACGGAAGTAATTGAAGTTTGTTGGGTACCATCAGATGAGCTGAACGCATTTGCTTGCGCGCTTCATCGATATCGCTCAAGCGTTTAACAAGATTGTGGAGCTGCTAAAATTCCCTTAGCAAGATACAGTATCTACCATAATTCGTATCGCAAAACGATTTATCGTCCTTCATTAAGGTTTTTTCACGTTACTCTTTATTATAACGCGATCTTAAAATTAATTAATATCATAATTATAATTTGTAATTATTACTTACATACTGGATAGTTGACAGCAATGATGATGAACACCAGCCAGATATCATCGAGGACGCAGCAGCAGCATATGGAAGCAAAAAAAGAACCAAAATAAGTTTGAAAAAAGATCAAGTTGAAATATAGTTAAAGGAAAGGGGAAAAAGTAACATGAAATTGACGACTTCCTAAAGTCTGATAAAAAGAGCAACTGAAGAAATAGCGAGGTCTAATAACTTGGCAAGCAATCCGTCATGATCAACGTGACTTGTGGGGATTTAATTGTCGTTGGTGGATCAATAAAGATTAAAAAAAAATGAAGAAACATGAAAAACGAAGTAATGTAATTTAAAATAATAACATGTTGGGTGATTGTTATTATATACAATATTCCTTCATGATAATTATTTTGAAGAAATCGTCACAAGTGTTTGGAAAACATGAGTGTAAGGGAAATAATTATATTAAACGGTTTACATAAGTCCAGTACTGTTTAGGGATATTTTTCTATGTCAGGTGTGCGTGCACTCGCAATTATGAGTTGTTTAAGTGCGTGTATATACGACGAGTGTGTCTCGTGGCTCTGTATAATTTGACATGTTGTCGTACACGTTATTATTCAGATAGATCTTGAGATACGCGGGCAGTCGGTTGAGGCCCCTCTTTCGTGTTCTCTCCTTCCATCTTGTCTCAACCTCCTCTTTCCTTATCCTTCTCTAACCCCTACTTGATATGCCTACGTGCAAGAGTACCAACGAATTCAATTGAATGTCATAAAAGCGACAAAACACCATTTCTTCTTGTTTAGTAATACTTGATTTTCTTTTTTTCTCCAATTTCAAATCTTCTAAACTTGAAGTAACCTATTAACAATTCATTCATTTCTCTCTGTATCAAGATAACAATCAAATAAAACTTTTCATTCCACGACAAAGCTACAATTTAATTACAATAAAATTTAAATAGGATTATACTTTTGTTATAATGAATTTTTCATGTCCTAATTTAGTTTACATTTTAATAATTTTTATTCAAGAGAATAAATTAGTTGGATATTGAATGATTAACTAACATTTTGCAAAAGTTGATAAAATTTAAAATTAAATTTATTCATGAACTGTTTTATCCTCTGAAGCTATTAAACAATTTGACTCATATTAATTAATTCAACACTAGAGCACATTAACACCAGGTTAACATAAACTTTTACAATGTACTATTCAGTAAAGAATGGTTATAGATGCATCACTGGTTATTTTACAAACATGAAAGATAATAGAGGCTTGTTGACAAATTACTCGTGAGCCGATAGAAAATAAATAAACATGAAAATAATGGGTAATATGTATGAGAGATATATAATAATGTAAAATAAAATAAATAAAGGATTTGCGAAACAGGATAGTAAAGGCGACAGAGATCAGCGATACGACGCAGAGATAGAGCTCAGCCTTAAGCATCCACCATTATATTAAATTGTGTATATTTCCCTTCATAATTACTTGAATTATACGCATTATGTAAATCGCTATGTTAATACCACGTACTCCTGTGCTACCGCGCGTCTCCTCTACCTTTGGATTGCAGCAATTTCGTTTAAGCGCGCGTTAAATGTTACTTTATGCACTTTTTATACGTCGCCGTTTTGCTTGTGGCCGAGCCAGAGCTGAAGTATCGCGAATATTATTATATGTAGAAAGAAAAAAAACATCATGTTCCTGTTGCCCTGGATCATTTCAACTACCTTTAGCACTACGCTTTTATTATTTACATAATTTTTTAGAAGACATTCATTCAAGTATCTACGTGACACTTGACACTTAAAGCATACAATTAAATAGATGACAATCATGTAGAAAGTCTCTTCAATGACTCTTTCTGTCACTTTTACCATCAACTAAATTTCGGTAGATCATCAAGTATTATAGTTTAGTATTCGATTAATCGAAAATTATAGTATACAAGAGGATATAATCATGCCTATAATTATCTGATAATTTTCTTTCTGATTTAAACTTTAAACGAGATAAGAATGTGATGAAAGTTAGAGAGACATAATAATAAGCAATTACTCGACCGATTTACCAACGATAATATTTTTTTTTTTTTCATCTGAATTATTCATTTCCATATTCTCTATGTAGAGTTTCATCATTTATAAATATTTATTTCTAATTCAGCAAAAAAAAAAAAACGGAGTATGAGTTGAAAAAAAAAAATTATATTTACCCTATCACAGCAAGTATAGTTTATACCAGCGTGTGATTTTCCATGCAAATTAAGTTGTCCGACTGTCATTATGTTAATAAAAATAATGAGACGCCAAGAAAGAAAAGTATCAGCTGCTGTAATAACTGTCGCCTGAGTTGATACCAAGAATTCTGCGTGCCTACATAAGCATAATGATGCTGCTGCTCATCTCTTAGGCATTTCATCAATCGATTTCACGCGTTTTGAAAATAATTTTTTTTTTTTTTATATCTAGTATTAGGTAGCCAGAGCAATTTAAAGGACCTTAATATTTGTTAATAATTATCCAAATTATGAATAATCACTTTTTAATAATATTATGATGTCTAAAATAACAATGGGGTGCTTACAAGATTTTTTCGTGATGATAAAAATATTTAGTTAAAATTAATGATGAGTTAGATTTTTTGTTCCATATTTTTAAAACATTTTTTGATGTTGTTTTTGATTAGAGGAATATGAATTTTTTCATTCAAATGTTCTGAAGATGCTGGTTAGATTGTCTAGGGTTCTGAGTCACAGATGGTCTCTATATTATACACTTTAAAAGCGAAAATGAACAAAAACATAAATGTCTAAGCTTATGACAATATTAATTCTTTATATCTCGATTACTGTTAATTAGGTGTGATCGTACCACGCCTTTCAATTCCAAATGATGATCATAATATTATCGAAAATATTAGAATGAGATCGAAAACACTTTAGAGTTAATATGAAAGTAGTGATAACTGTGTACGCGAGCTAACGTATTTGGTTATTAATTTTCGGGACCACGACGGGGTATCTTTGGCCCCCTTGTGCGTGTCAGCAAGAGAATCTCTCTCACTCTCAAACTCGAGGTCCACTTGAGACAATGGCCGCCCGCAGAGCTGATGTCTCCGACGACGTCTGGGACCCCCGCTGAGACGCGGGCGCCGTTCACCTTTTACTTATAGAGACGTCACTTATCGGTCCCATCGTTTTCAGTCCTTCGAATCGGCCGATCTACACGATTTATCGAGTTTGTATTCTCACGGATTTTACGGGCGACAAAGGGCCACGCGTGCTCACCGAAATGTCGTGGCTACGTGTGAGGCAACATGTAAATGCATCGCGCACTTATGGAAATCATTTTAAAACACCACGAAAAATATTTAACATGCTTCCTTAACATTCCACAGACTAATCACCAATTAATATCCTCCGACATTTATTATTGTCTTAATGTAATCTTATTCTTGCCAGGACAACACAAGATCTTGTGATTATCTCGTGTTTGATTGGTGTTTGAGTGTCAATTTGGCATATTGACTACTGAAAAATGTGCTTCTCACATTTAAATGTGTGCAAAAGTAAATGTAAAATATATTTGACATTTTTTTCTCACTCAAAAAATTTTTTTGTCGTCAATACTTGTGATTAATTTTTTCTTTTTTATTTAAATAAATGAAATAAGTAATAAAGAAATGAATGTTATATACTTACACCCTATGCAGTGATGAAGATAACGAGATCAGTGGAAGCAGCATCAAGTTCAAATGCAGTTGACCATAGAAAAAAATTAATTAAATCCTGTTAATTCCAATTTGTGTCATTATCCTCATAAGCATAAATATACTCACGGATGAGGGATCCTGAAACAGATGGTAAGAGAAAATAAAGATTAAATGAGCTACGATGAAAATTAATGAAAAAAATAATTAATGGGAACAGTGGATAATTAAATGTATGCATGTCAAATCACATATCGCATCAAGTGTAGGTAATTTCGCAAGAGCTCGCGAATTATGCGGGCAAAATAATTGGAATGTAAACGGTGACGCGTACCTGCGACGAAACAGCCGTTCACTGTCCCTCCCCCGCTTGCTTCTCGTCTTTCTTATATCCATCAGAGAGACGACGAAGCAGTCGACGATTCCCCTTATTCACTTGCCAACTTTTATGTATAAAGACGTTGCCTCCGATCAATAATTTGTTATGCATACTCTGAGACAGAAAATTGCGTTCAATTTAGCCGAGCTTTCATTCTTCTCTACTCCCTCTTCGTTCTGCTGACTACATAAATATAGATGTTCTGTTTAAAAGCCATCTTTGTTTAGCATAATACTCAAAGCCGCCGGGCGTTCATCGAAACTTTATTGAGCATCTTCAATGCATTATGTTATGTTAGGAATTATTTTTAATAATTTAAACTTTGATACTGCAGTAAACTAACTGGTAGGTATTCCTGATGAAGAAGATAAAGTGGAAGAGGAAGATATTGAACAGACTATTGAAAATATTGTACATAGCGTCGGTATATTGCAGTAGTTGTGGCAATAACGGTTTGTAGGTATTTATAAAAAGTACAGAAACCGCGGGAGTTTCACGAAAGAGGTAAAATGGAATATGCTCTGGCCACAAAATCGCCTGGAGCTCTCGCGTTGAACCTGCAACTTTTAATAACAAAGCAAGGGAGAGCCGGCATATTATGTTATGATATTGCCGTGAGAGAGAAGAGTAACTGAAGGAGGAGAAGGTGAATTAGGGGTTGAGGGGCGAGAGAGAAGATGAATGTAAACCGCAACACAAGCACCGCTGTAACCGCGAAATTACCCCTTCGCCTCTCTCCGCCCTCTTCGCATATATCCAAAGAAAGTGCACGAGGTTCGTTCTACGCGATTCATTATCAATTAACATTTTTTCCTCCTCCTCAACTACGTTCCTCTTGATCCCTAGATCACGCGGCTTTTTTAATTCTCCAGCCTCCGCATCAGACTACCACCAAGTGAAGTGGATTAAAGTGCACGAGTTGGAATCAGTGTTTCGTTGGTATTGAAAATTAAATTTTTTCCGTCGAGTTAACGAGTACACGAATTCCACAATAGCGACGACGTGTCTCATGTGGATCGTTTGCACTACAGTTTGGAATGAAATAATTCAGAGTATGAGGGAGTATAGGTGAGAGAGGCTTGGCAGTAAAAACGTTTTCGGTGCGCAATTTCGTTTTCCTCGTTTAATCATGCGTCGGATACGACCCCCCTAGATGAGCAGTTGAGGTTGTTGGTGATGAAGGGGGTGGTGAAGGGATAAGGGGGACTGCAGTTAACGGGTATAGGGGGCCGCAGAGCAGCACTCGAGCCGTCATTTGTCAGGAGCTGTCGCGCCACGAGCGTGTTTCTGTTCCAGCGGTGCAGATAGCGGCCCGTCCATAGGCCGTTCATCTTTATTCCTTTATACGTATGTACACACAGACGAGATCCCTACCCCATACTACACAGTGACTTGTCCCCTCTCTCCTTCATTCGGTTGCCACCTCCTTTCCCCCCTGTACACGACTCCCTCAAACTCATTTAATTACAACAAACAATTTATTAGGTCCATCCGGGATCCGCCCACGGGGATAAAATGGCGCGCCAGCTACGGTTGAACGCGCGGGGGCGGCTGTTGCATATACTACGATCGTTCTACCAAAATTCTACACTCGAGATAGGGTGCTTTCACGCTCCAAGCAACTCGCACGCGCATCCCAATTGCATCTGTCGTACCAAGAGGGTGCATAATCATATGGGATGCGCTCCATTGCTGTGGCAATTGACCAATACATTTATTAAATTCAGTTGAACCTGCTACTACGACCCCCTGCAGAAAAATTTACTCTCTATATTGCATTTCATTTAGGTACTCGATGCTAATTTAAATAAGGAATTGATTGCGAAAATGGCATCATTACACCATGGAACTCTAAAATATTTTGATTAAAACATTCAATGAACCCCAAAGTCATTCAATTATTTTTTCAACGAAAATAAAATTCACTCATTTTTTAGCATTTAAATATTTTTCTTAGGTTTTTGAACTTTTTTAATCAAGTCTGAATATTAAAAAAAATTTCTTAGATATTTATTTTAATAATTAAACGAATCTCATTAGAGAATAAAACTAACGCTAATGAAACATATAAAACCCTAAGTTGGTAGAAAAAAATGATGAGTGGTGGTGTATATCAGGCTCCCTCTTTTTATCTCACCCTCGTTATTTTTTTGTTCTCTCCTGCTTTGAATAACAGAGCTAGGAAAGAGTCTGTTTTTTATGGCTCACTCGTCTTGATGAGACAACTTCGTTGTGTCTGGTACGGACATTAGGGGATATGTCCGGTAGTAGTTAAACGCGGTGTATGACAAAACTCATGAAAGACACGAGAGAAGCTTGATGGTAAAAGTTAGTCTTTAAACGATATGCTTCAAACTGATTGTGCTTGTTGCATATTGTCCGTGTTGTTGGCGAACGTACAGTAGTAGGTACGACTACTTCAACTATGTAGTCTCTTGAGAGAGAAGCTCTCCATATGCCCAAGCACACGCGCATTATTGCAAGGAGGACCGGAGGAAGCGCACACATCTTTTATTCATCCGACAGAGTGGAGCCTCAATTTGAATTGAATAGGATTTATAAATTATTTCAAATTATAGTTGCGATGCATGACCGAGAAGCCGAAGTAAAAAGGATGAGCTACTGTGTGTCTCTACGAGTATGTTAGATGCGTTGGTGAAACTTGGAAGATTGCTGCTTCCGGAGCAACACTAGTGCATACAGGATGACAAATAGATAGCTGTCAATACTTGATATTTATGCATTTCAATATAAGCCATAAAATGATTTTTTGTAGTGAATAGAAATTGCATTGATGCCAAACAAGGCAAAATAAATTGCAATATCATCTAATTTAGTGATATTCAATGATTATCAGCATTATTTTCTTTAAACTTATTTCTTTTGCTGCATTTTATGATTCGATTAGTCTAGTTTATTGACATAGATTCACGGGATTCAATTAAACAGGAAACTCTATGAGATGAAATGATGGAAATGAATATCAGAAATAAATATATACAAGCAAAATTGTTTGAAAAAACTTACTAGCTCAAAATAGAAAGAATTAAAATGTATTTCTGAGAAATAAAAATGAAATTTAGTCAACTTTCTATCCGTCACTCTGTATGCATATCACCTAAGGTATAGTGACAGGTGCAGATAAATCTCATATCACATTTCATAGTCGACTACTTTTCTATCTGATTAATAAAATAATCCATAAGGGATATTTCTACAAGTTAAATTGCATAGCGAATAGCAAGTACACACTGGTGCACCAGTGGGTCCATGAATTGGATAAGTGAGAGGGTAAGTTGTCGACACACAGGGCGTGCCGGCTATATGTGCATGTCGTAAATATGATAATCCCGAGGTATCAGAGCTACCCGGTGGCTCGAGGTGATAACGACTATTATGCGAATGTGCGACGAAAAGGGAATTAGGGAAATCATTTGTTAGCCGAGTCGTCCGTCGCCGATGATAGCATGTTTCACTTGGCATTTTATATCCTGCAGACTGCACATATATGTGTATATGCCACTTCTTACTTGGAAATCGAAATTTATTAAGTTGTTTGTCAATTGATCAATAAGCAAGTCTATGAGCTATCATTACTTGATGTTGTGTTGTATTTAATTCAGCTCAATTCCCACGAGTTATAAACTCACTAAAGATATTTATACAACCCAACTGCGATGTTATTCAATAAAAAGTGTACCATACATTATTAAGTCTTATAAAAGATTTTGCGAAGCAAACTTGTACAATCAACTGCAGTTGGAAAAAATATATAAATATGTGATTGAGAATTGGAATGAGTTATTCCGTTGTGAGATTTAGTTATAATAAGTAAACTACTTGGTTCATGATACTTTAAAATAAATGTTAAAATGTAAAAGGCTGTGAGTATACTCTGTTGCTTCTCACTCTTCACATGAATTGACATATACATACGCACTTGGACATGTCACCCGATTAATTTGTTGTTAGCAAACAGGTAGGTAAACTGCGAGCGGATATGCTGCTGCACGGCATATAAAGGAGTCTCCATTTATTAAGCTGGCAATAAAATAGCGTCTACGCGCATCTTCGTGGGTGGAACGTCGAGACCAAGGGTGGGTAGGGGAAGCCGATGGTCTCTACCTAAGGCAGACGGGACTGATTTATGCGAAAATCGAGGGACGCTTTGCCGCTTAGCCGCGTATTCCCGTGACTTGCTCGCTCTCTCGCTTACCCTCGTCGTAGCTTGTGAAAGTATTTGTCACACTATACAAGAACCCGCAAATGTACTGCCAGCTCGTTCACTGAATAAATGCTTCACTGTTTAGGTGAAGAGCTGTATGTGAATATCTGTGTAAAATTCACCAATGACGTCATCATATTATTTATTCACTAGATCCATTTATTTTCAGTTAATACCTATTTTTACTATTATGTTTGAAATATGAATCTATTTCTGGTACTCAAGGTGCTGACAGCTTAAGAGAATCCATAAAAAAAATGAAGAAAAATTTAATTTTTGTAAATAAAATTTTTTTTCAAGGCTAAGAAGATATAAATTGAACAAATGTTGTAGGTTAATCATTTTTATTCAGTTGTAATTTTTTGAAATTCCATTTGCTTGTTGGAGATCAATTATTACATGCTCTTAACGCATAAATTCAATTATTGCAACATAACAAATGTTTCAGCTATTGAAAAAAAAACAATTATATATTGGAGAAATATAAATCATGTTCTCTAATTGATGATGATCGTTTGCATTTTCTTATTTAAAAAA